TTTTAGCTGAATTCTACCCAACTGCGTCAATTATATCACGCCACTCAACTTACTCACATAATTTTATTTTCATTTATACCCGATCAGCGCCTTCTACATTACGTCATTTGTTATCTGAGATTTGCAATTCTGATGACTGATCTTTTGCAATACTGCCCGAGTTACCTGGACAACTTTCATGAGAATGTGGAAATTTGGTTGAATCTGTGACAGGGATTTGGATATTTGATGGTTGAAGGTCTTTGAACTAGGTCTCACGCCTGTCGGTATATGTGCGGCAGTCTGGGGCCGGTGTTTTCTTCTTCTGTCGAAGATTCGAATTCTCCTTACTCAGTGCTGCAGTCAGTGATTTTACCGCTAAGCAGCTTTTGGGTACTTGTGTGGATACATCAACACGCAGAATTACTGTACTTATTCATTAACTCATAACAAAAATTATTGATGAGATAAATGTAGATTTTTAGTTTCTTGATCGACTACCGAACACACTCACACATGCGTTTGATATAATATGAACATCTAACAATTATTGATGCACTTCAGTGGTTCAGTGGTGGAATCCTTGCTAAACCTCCACGTTGTCAGGCTTTAACTCCTGGTCAACGAACGCTTAAGCTTCGGAAATCTTACCAAGCGACAGTGAACTTGGAAATGAAAGAATGTTGAGTGTGAAGTTAGCGACTACTCTCCGTAAACTCAGCACTACTGCTACTGTAACTTGAAGGCTTGAGGACTGCTGTTCCAGAATTCTGTAATGTCATTTTGCCTGATAGTAACTAACCTTGGAGTAACGGGTGTGCGTTTCATGATATCTGGGACTCGTCAGTGAGATATTACTGTATCCCAGTGAGTTATGGTGTTTCCATTGAGAAATGGATCCAACACCAGTCATTCCAAACGCCAAAGTGTTATCCCTCATATGAGTTGACTGCGAGACCCATATCCTGTGCAGTGATGACCCACTGGTATTTTTAAAATATATTTTTTGAATTTTCTTTTGATTGATTATATTGGCTTGAAATAGTGGGTATCTGTTAATATGTCGTCAACAAGTATGACACTTCCCCGACGGCTTAAGACTGCTGTTGTGTTTGTTTGAATGATGGTGGTTAGCAGCGTGTGAGAAGCCTTTGGTATTTGGAAAGATGAGTTCTGAGCTGTAGTCACATTGGGAACAACACTACCCAATCGGACTGCAAATATATCAACATATATCCACTAATCCGTTTGGTTTCATTGCAAATAGTACAATAATAGTGCCACAATTAATCCCTATTGATTTCAGACACATATATATCCCTGATCTGTTAAGAGGATTTCATCATGATCTGACATAGGTTAGAGAACCATTAGAAAATCACCAGGGTGTATTGGAAAGCCAGCTGTTTCTATCTAGTCTCTTGAGACACTTCAGCAGTAGACACTTACCAATCGAAAGCAATGCCTGCAAAACCAATATTTGAGAAATATCTCTGATTTCTTACCATGATTAGTTTTGAAAAGGAAAACAGTATATGGAAAGCATATTTGATATAAATATTTGTAATCAAGAAAATTAACTGCTGGCTCAAATTCTTTAGAATTAAACTAAGAAAAAGGGCGCATAGAACAAATGCAGAAATAAATTAGCTGAAAATTTCACATTTTATTATTTTGATGCTACTCATGGTATCCCTTATGACAATATAATTAATTGAACAGTATATTGTTGTTTTCAATTAGATCTTCTACAGGCTTTATTTACTCTATATCACATAGATTTATTTATAGAAACTTTAACCCATGATGCTGACATTTTGCATCAAACAACAATGATGATAATAATAGTGATGTGGTAAATGTTTTCAACTTCAGTAATCACGATTATTATAATGACAACAAAATAATGATAGTAAGGTTTATGCCGGCTGGCAATAAGAATAACGAAGGTAGTAATACGTGTGTGTATATGTAGACAATTCAATAAATAAATAAATTAGGTCCAATCTTAAAAGGTAATTAATACTAAGGGTGAAGAGGACAGATAATCAGAGTTTAAATAAATATCACAAGAGTTCGAAGGAAACGGAGAATAGAAATGGGTGGGAGGGTTATAATTAGACTTTACCTAGGCAACCAAGTTAGAGACAAAGGTAGAAGAAACTTCTTTTGTTGTGTGCATAGACTTAGATTGTTCTCTCGAATTAATTCCCATAGCTTCGGCTATGTGTAAAGGGCGGATTCAAATTCCATTAGAAAGGCTCGATGTGATGCGATAGATAACTTTACAGGCACTACTTCTGTCCACACTTGGTGACCACTATCATCAGTCAAATGAGTCAAAGTAGAACTTCTTATACATTTTATTTGGCCTTTTCCGAACCATGAAGGAAGATGTTCATTAATGCGTTTGTTAAGCTGTCTAGTTGTTCGCCCTGCATAGCTCTCTCCACAGGAGCAATTAAATTTGTAGATACACATAGAAGTGGCACAGCTATGGTAGCTTGTCTTTCACTTGAGCAACCATAATTGGTTAGCAGGTGGAAAATGAGAAACAAAGAGTGGCGGAAGTATAAATCTGCTTTATTTCTCATGATAATCTTAGATGTAAGACTTCACTAGTCACGTCCGCATTAAATTGCAATTTTTGGAGCAGTTGTTTCTTTTCAACTATTGTCAGTTTCTCTTTATTATACCTGGTGTTCATGTGTCTCCCTGCAAATCTACTAGGATAACCCATTTAAACAAGAGTATTTTCGATGTCTCCTAATTCATTTTCTAGAAAGTCATCTGACAAAATTGATTTTGTATCGGATTGCTACAAAAATGAGGAAATTTGCATACTGTCCTGCATATGTAGGTTTTCTATAGACATGTTCTCTTGAGTGAACCATCCATTCTCTCTTCTGATCAATTGGACATCAAGGAAGTATAGTCCGCTGTCATGTTCTTCTTCACAAGCGAAGATGAGCGATGGATGTGCATCATTAAATTTTATTAACGTTTCATTCTTGTCAGCTTTCACATCAAGAATAATAAACGTATCTTTAACATAGCGAAAATAAGAATCCGTTTTATCTATTACTTGTTTCAATGGACCATTTTCAAGCTTAGCACGAAAGAAATCTGCCAAAATTGGCCCCAATGGAGAACCCATGACAATACCATCAATTTGTCTGTAATAAAGTTTGTTGAATGTGAAGTGTACATTCATAGTACATCTTAAAATCAGTTCTTTCAGACTAATTATTAACTGGGATACCTATTTCGAACTTCTTTTCTAGTATTTGTTGGCATATGAATTCTACAGTCTCCATAAGTGGTACATTGGTGAACAGTGATGTGACATCTAAGGATAGCATTTGCTTCCCATTTACATTAATATCATGTACATTGGAAATGAATTCAAAAACGTCTTTAACACTATCATTTACCACCTTCTTGTGTAATGTTTGGAGGAGTTTACCTAGTCACTTTGACACTCCATGGTAGGTGGATTCGGACATTTCTAAAACTGAGCTATGGGCAGACCGTACAATCGTGAAGTATTATTTCCAGTAGGTTTAAGACGGTTGTAGGATGTCTCTGAGATTACTCCACTTTCTCTTGGCTCCTTAAGCGTGTTTGTCAGAGCTGATTTTCAGCCTTTCTGTCTAGATCTGTTGAGTTGTGAAGCTTTTGGAATTTCTTTTTATCCGTTAGAAGCGAATTCATGCTTCCAGCTTAATCACAATTATTCATCAGTACTGCTCCGGCTCCCTTATCATGTCTACTGATTATAATGTTTTCGTTGTTCCTTAACTTTCTTAGGGCTTCCCGATGCTTGTTTAGTCATCAAGCTTTTAATAGAATGACTACTGTTTTTATACTGCTGACAACTGTCGAGTAGTGAGTGTAGTTTTAAATCTAGCGACTTCATCTTCTAACTATAGAATCAAATCTTTTGTTTGTAGGAGGAGATTTTCAAACTGATGAACGAATGCAAGTATAAATTGACTGAGAATTTCATAGTTTCCCATTTTATTATGCATGTACTGTTCATGATATCCAATATGACAATAGATGGTCAGCCTGTAAACAATTCAATCTATTTTTCGAATGTTGGTCTATGGGGAACTGATTGATTTCAACTTGGTGATGATCGTGATCAACAAACATTATTTCGAGAAGTATCAGAGATTAAGAATCATGGAATAGGCGTTTTGCACTAGTTCAATGACTCCAGAATTATATGCTTATGATCTCATGGTATGCGTTGAATCAATCAGTATTCTGTGATTTCTTTGGAAGCCAGTTGCTCTTTAAATTCTAACTTCTTCTATCAAATCGCAATATATAACGATGATATTAGATGGTTGGAGGCGATCGGCCACAGGAAGCCTTGCTTAGCCTAGGGTTTCGTGTTAGTTGCCAGTCACCAGTCATCAAGGCGTAACTATAACCTTGAAGGAACCCACGTCCTTTCTGAGATTCAAAGTCTCATCACCCAGTGCTTTCCGCAGTCAGAGACGTTACTGCTGAGCTAGAAACATCACACAATATCACACTTGTTAATGGTGTCCAATCAAAGTATCCACTGAAGTCCTACAGGAAAGAGGTCAATCGCAAGCCCGAATAGCTTAGTGGTAACGTCTCTGACTGCAGCTCTTACTGGAAGACGAGAATTCAAATCTCAGAAAGGACATGTGTTCTTGCAAGGCTGTTGCAGATACGCCTTGCTGACTGGTGATTGGCAACTAGTACGAAACCTAGGTCAGGCAAGGCTTCCTGTGGCCGATTTCCTCCAACCATCTAATATCATCAAATCAATGTGCACCGTGATGGCTATGATTGCAAACCTGGCTGATAGAATTCAATCTGCACCAAAGAAAGGACTAGACGCATAACACTAGTTACTAGTGTCCAATCAAAATATGACGATGCTACTAGTGAATATCATCGCAGAGAATCTCTCCTGGCACAGAAAGGCGCCTCGCTCACATTCTTCTATTTATTGTATTATCTTAAAGGAAAGTGTGTGCAAAATTGTATTATTATTATTACTATTACAATTACTTTCACATAATTATTTGTACAGGAATAGAAAGTAATCATAAATAATGAGACATGAATCGAGAAGATGAAAATTCAAAGATGATGAAAATGGGGATATTTTCAAACACAAATTATGGAAGTTTGATCTGATACGATGTAAACTTAGATCTGACATTCAATCCTCTGTTATATACTCTTATGCATATGTGTGTAAATCAGGTGTTATGTAATAATCAATGAAGACAAAAATAGCTCTGAAAAAGTTACTTTAGCTTTACAAACATGCTTGTTTATTAAGCGAAAAGAAAGAAGAAAAAAAAAAAATCAATTTATCACAATAAGCTTTAAATAATGATAATAAGTAGTATGTGTAGATAGTTGGAAATTATGAAACCTTGCATCGACTATGTTTACTATTTTCTCTGCCTAATCCATTAATACGTTTTTGTAAAAGTGATGCAATTCTTTTGCGTCCAATAGTTGTTAACGCCAAATATAATTCATTCAATGGGGATTGATTATCCCCAACTCCGTGTAACCATATATTCAATAGACGGTAGGTATGCTCCTTATAGGAATTTTTACCTGAGTAATGTTGGAAAGAAAGAGAAAAAAAAAGCGATGAAGATTAAAATTAACAAATGAAAGTTTCGTTAGAGTAAGAATTGCATTTATTGGCTCAATGGTATAAGAAAATGAACTCACTCGTCATACAGTAATCAAGAGTTCGATTTCCAGTCATTGCCTAATTCACTAACCGGTAGAATTAGCTACAATGAGGGAATTTTGAACGTGAGGGTTAGTAAGTCTACCACCACGACTATTGAAACTCCAAAACTTAGAGATTAAAGCGTTAGGTTCCACGCGAATGGTGAAATGATAAAAAAACAACAAGATTCGCAATACAAAGTTTGCGTAATTGAATTTGATCCAAGGCTTCTCTTCAGCTTCGATTAGTCTGGAATTTACAGTAATTTCCCTTATTGAAATGAAACTAAGCCTGCCAATTTTTTTTTATTATTTTTTTATTTTTGGTTACAGCTTGATGCCACACCGTATTTTCAGTACGAGTATGGCATTTTCAGCATGGATATCGGTAGCCCAAATTTCACAGGCCGACCATAGATATCGGGTGTGCACCGGTAGGGGCTCGAACCTCGGACCATGTGCATGGTCGGCGAGAGTCCTAACCACGGTGCCACCGACGATTATAATAATAATCTGCTTTATTCCAAAAACAGTACTCATAATACAGCATGGAATTCTAAGCATTTATCACAATATTGCATCGAATTTACTCAAAATATAAATAAAGTTTCCTATAGGAATGTTCCCACATTTACAGTAAGAATAACTTCAAAAATGTGTATAGTACAAAATGAGAATAATAACTATAGTAATAATAATAACAATGGGTTTGTTTCAAACAGTACTGTCGATATAGTATGTGGAACTTAGCATGCTACAGAGTATGGAATGTAATGTCCTCTTGATATAGCATGGTGAGGGCAAAAACAAGAAAATTAACAATTATTACAGAGGTCAAATGAGATTTACATTTATGAGGAAATGAACAAAACAAAATAAATGAGAGGACTATGAATATAAGAGGAATAATAGCAGTAAACATTAATGGTAGAAGGATGGAGAAAATTGTTTATTTACTAGTAGAAAGAAGGTTAGTTAGTTAGTTAGTTCGTGTCTGACACTATTTTCATTACATGGAATACATGCCAAATATGGTATCGTGGAATGTTTTTACTTAGATGTGCGCTCCTAAAATCTTTTTAAATGACTTCTTGTTTCATCTGAGGAGATGCAAGATGGAAGCTGCAGGTGCTGCTGCAGTGAATGCTCACAGTCTGACAAAATCCCTTTAGCAAATTTATTGCATGAAATCAAGTGCCTATCAGTAATGACGATATCAGGGATATGGTTCAATTGGTTAACACTCACCCTTCTGACTGACAGTCTTCAGAGTTCTACAAAGCATCGCCTAGTCCTTTTCAAGCAACCTGGGAAGAAGTAAGGGTGAAAGGTAAAGAAGAATAGGTAGGATGCAAGATTTGACAAAGTGCAGCAGGGGAGGAGAAGGGGTTGAGTTATGTCTGAGTGCCTCAACTTCCTAATGTAAAATGTCAGACGGGATATTGTTGTAGAAGTCGCTAAGACATGGAAAGACCAGAATAGATCAGAAGAAAGAATTAGTCCAAGATAGTTGACGTCAGACTTGAATTCTATATCAGTATCATCAATTTTGCAATGGTCATGGGAATTAACAGCTTCGCCTAACTTCCCTTTACATCTGAAACTGCAATTAAGCATCTGACATTTATAAGGATTCAGTTTAAGACCATTAGTCAAAGACTATTTTCCGACCCTTGATAGAAAGCTGTTCATCTTATTACAATCTATCTGAGAGTTAAATGGCATTGAAACAGTTAGGTCGTCTGCATACTTAACAAAGTTCATTTCATCAGAGTGAGGCAAGTCATGCAAGAAGAAGGAGGATAGAAAAAGAGAAAGAACAGCTTCTTGATGGACACCGGTTTCATTAAGCAATGAAGTGGACGACTTCCCCTACATACAATGTACTGCTTTCTTCGTGAGAAATAAGAATGCAGACAGTTAACAACCCAACACTCAGTTTGAGTTCCAGCAAACTTATTTAACAAAATACCTTTGGGTACCGAGTCAAAAGCAGATGTATAATCTAGGAAGGCGCAGCGAACAAATTTAGTCCCTTTGTTTAAACTAGAAACGATGTTATGATGCAAGACCATAGCTGCACCTAAAGTGCTTCTACTATGTTTGTAGGCGAATTGTTTGGGATCGTCAAAGGCTTTAAGTGAGGGTTCAAGATTAAGTAAAAGTATCTTTTGCATAGTTTCCAAAAAGGAGAGGTTATAGCAATATGTCTAATGTTGACACATTCTTCAGTAGATGCCTTTGGTATTGGTGCAATTTTAATATCTTTCTAGACGGCTGATGCAAGATTTCCGGAGAAATGTTCACTGAAAGTGTCAGTGAGAGGATAACATAGGTTATCTGCAAATTTTTTAAGAATAGTACTTGGCACACCATCTGGACCTAGGCTTTCAGATGGGTTCAGCAACTGGAGGCATTTTAGAACATCATTTGTGTTGAAACCAGGGAAGCAGCTTTCATAAACACTTGTGGCACTAGAAAGCATGGCATTTGTGGGAGAATATATGAAAGACGTGTTTAGGGAACACACATCAAATCAACAAGGAATAGTGTTAATCTGCTTATCACCAGTGATTTCTTTGGAAAGTTTCTAAATATCAGAGGCATTTTTACAGGATATGAACTTCTGGTTATATATTGAATTTAACCTCTGCATTTTAGATTCGATTAAGATGTTAGTTCTTTTCACACTAATGTTATCCTTCATTTTACATAACGTTTGTCTTTCTCTGGGAAGATTTTTAAATTGATTGGAGGAGAAACGGTCAAATCTGATGAATACCGTTTCTCTGGGGCAACCTATGTCAAGACGGAATTTCAGATAACTTGTAGTATTTGAGATAGTGTTGTAACGGCAGAAGACAAGGGCCAGGCAACAGATCGTTTATTGAGAAAATCAACAGATATTTGTTACAGGATTTCATCATGAGCTGACATTGGTTAGAGAACCATTGGAAAACATGGGAGTACTGGACAGCTGTTTCGTCCTAGTTTGGGATTCTTCACAGTACGCACCCACCGGGGTTCGAACCAAGGACCTTTTGATTACAAGACGAGCTCGTATACCATTAAGCCACTGGGACCCGATCCAATGGCCCATGAATTCTAACTTCTGCCAATTCACGATATGGCGCAACCGCTAGCCAATGTCTTCGGCTAGTATTTGTCCTCACACCGACCTGCTGCACTCTACTGGTCACGATAGAAGCAACGTCTTCTGATAGTTTGTTTTCTTGCTTAAAGTTATTTTGTCATCCCTTCGTTGCCCTCCTTTGATATATCTACTTATCGTATCCGCCCACACTAAGTCTGCTGTGATTGGTTGTTGAGTTAGTCTCTGTTTCTGTTTTTTCTCATGACCAAGATTTGGGACGTAAACATTGACGTCAATTGTTGTCTAAAATTTTGTCTTGCAGACAGCTCTTACTGTGGTGAGAGCTGTCTACTAGCCAAATTGGTAGACAGTAATTTACGTCAATATTTACGTTCCCAAGATTTGTTGTGAGAAAATGTGAACAAAGATTGGTTTTGCGTAGGCGGATGCAGTTAACATATAGAGGATTTGACATTCAAGAAACAGTCACAAATAGATGAAAGATTAACTTTACGTGAGAAACAACCAATCGGAAGACTGTGTTTGTTTGCTTAAATATCCATAGTAATGTACATGAAAATATACAAATATGCGTTGATTTCCTTAATAAATGATCTGTTGCCTGACCCTTGCCTTCTGTCGTTACATTACTACAGTGTTATCAAGAGAGTCTTCATTAAAAAAATCCTGTCTAGTGTCTTTGAGCATGCATCTAAGATTCTGCACATTCGGTAGTGTTTGATAAATACACAACTTCAGAGAAAATCGGAGTGTACTTGACATGCATTTTGCCTGTGTCATATGTAACATGGCGCTATAATTCTTTTTATATCAAGTCTTAGTTTAATGACAGTCCAGTCAGTTGGACTAGTTCACCAGTTCTGTAAGCAGTACTAGTCCTGATACATTGACCGCTCACGAAATGCCAACATTATAGTAAATGATCTACACGGCATTTGTCAACATGCATGATGGTTAATGCCAGTGAGATATCCAGCTACTTATCGAAGGACAAGTCTTTCAAGCAGAAAAATTAACTGTGTCCCATTTCGTCTCAAGCAGAGATTAACATCATCTCAATGGTTCATATAATGACGTGATTTTCCCAATTTTTCTTCATTTCTCTTTAGTAACTTTTAAAAGTATGTCCATTAATACGATAGAGGTTGGCTTCAAAATTGCCAGTCCCAATTAGACTATTCAACTATATAGAATTTGCTCCAGAATTTCAAAAAACTGGAAAGATACTTAACGGCATATCAGAATGAAACAGTTTAAATGAAAATATCTATCAAAAAGTCAAGTTGACTTCGATTAGGAAATATCAAAGTGTTTGGAACACTGAATACTGGGTTCATATTTCAGTGAGAACGGTGCAGATGCAAGTACATCCTTATAGCGAGTCTTCAGAATAGTAAGCAAAGCGTGTCCTGGATTCTGCTTCTGGCTACACTACTGTTGAAACATTCATACCATAAAAGTCAACGTGTCAGTAGAAATCGAGCATTCCAGTACAATGAAAGCCATTAAAAGGGGAAATTTTAAAAGAAGTAAACAAATACCAAGTTAACTTCGCTCTCTATCTCAACTTCGTTGACTTTGAAAAGGCTTTCGATAGCGCAACGTCGATCGAGAGGTGATTCGGCAACTACTTCGCTACTAGGAAGTGCCGCCAGAAAATACACACTTCATCGAACAGTTGTACGACAATGCTGCATGCCAAGTGATCCACAACGCGAAACTCACGGAATCCTTCGAAGTGAAGACGGGAGTAAGACACGCTGGCTGCCTACTATCTGCAATGATTTTCCTGATTGAGGTCGGTAGACTGGATAATGTGACAGACAGTGGGCAGTGAGGAAACAGGCATAAAATACACCAACACAAAAGACGTGGAGGATAAGGACTTCGCCGACCATGCACATGGTCCGGGGTTCGATCCCCTGCCGGCGCACACCCGATATCTATGGTATGCCTGAATTTGGGCAACCGATATCCATGCTGAAAATTCCATACTTGTACTGAAAATACGGTGTGGAATCAAGCTGTAAAATCAAAAAAAATAAAAAAAAATATGTCTGATTTACAACAAGCTGGAAGATATGCAAGTGGAAAGCAACAAGTTGGCAGAAGAAGCATCCAGAGAAGATAGGCCTTCAGCTGAACATAGAGAAAACAGAGGTGATTAAGATTCCTGGTCAACAGTGACAGCAACAAGAACAGACAACAATCAGCATAAATAGGAGAAATCTGAAAGAAGCAACCTCCTTCACCTACCTACCCACCTACCTACCTGAGAAGCATCGTTTCAACTTGGTTTCAGTGACACTGAAATTGAAACCAAGTCAAGCATTAAATGTATTGGATTGATTCTTTCCTCTGACCTTTCATGGTCATCCCACATCTTATCAATCTCCAAGAAAATGTTTCGTCTTACCTTCTACATTAAAAAGGTAAACCAACCTTTACTTCTGCAGTTTGTAAACTCCTGTATTTTATCTATTGTGCTCTATTGCTCTGCATTAATCTTTCCTGGGCTTCTCAAAAAGACTATATCATATTACGAAGGGTATTAAATGCTGTGAGTAGGGCTTGGGGCATGCCACTGCATGAGCTCGCCAATATCACAGTCGAGAGACACACAAATTCCAGTACAAAATGGGCAAAGGCCGTACTGTCAGACCCCCTGCACCCCTTTTATTCACAACTATCCCCTTGCATCTCATCAGGTTGGACGGGAAGTCAATATAAGAAGTTATATGCTCGAACCACTAAGTACAAAAATTCTACAATACCGTATTTAGCCCGTATTTTATGTGATGAAGACTCTACTAGACGTGAAACATATAAGTTACTATGTAATTAGCATAGTGAATCGACCCTTTTATCGTTTATCTTTCTGTAATTTTATGGTGTCACCCTTTCTATCGTCTAATTATAACTTAGCAATTCTATTTTAGTTGTTATTACTATATTTACTACAACTTTATACTTTGTGCATATTTTTCTCCTTATGGCGTACTGTAAATTGCTACATAGCTGCTATAACAACGTTTTGTTATTATTATTATGTAATGTTTATTTTTTTGTCGTTTTGAGTAAATTAGATGCAATTTTGTATTGAATGCTGAAAATTCCTTGCTGTATCATTAGTGCTGTTTTTGGAATAAAGCAAAAAATTATTATTATTATTATTACAGGCGGACGGAACTGAAGACGATATTAAAGTAAGGATTGGGAAAGCAAGGTAAGCTTTCATTACTCTCAAGTCATTGTGGACGTCGACCACACTCAGCATTAAAAATAAGATCAGGATTTTCAACTGCAGTGTGAAGTCAGTCAGTGCTACTAAACTGATCAGAGACTTGACGCTGCATCATGAAGGGCACTTCGAACAAACTACAGACTTTCATCAATAGATGTCTTCGCTCAATACTACTCAAGATCAGATGGCTGGCCAGAAAAGATCAGCAACAGAGATCTTTGGCGATGAGCGAACCAACCCAGCAGCAACCGACTGTGCAAAAAATATACAGGAAGAAATGGAGATGTATTGGTGGCTATACTCTGAGAGAACAAACTATCAAGTGAGTGACATCACACGCAAGGCCGTGGCTCGAGTGCAACCCGAATAAGAAGTGGTGAGTTAGTCGTCAGTGCGAGGGTGACATGGAAGAGGTCATGTTAAGATGAGATGAAAATGTTGGCAGAGAATCGAATGCAATGGAGACGTGCACATGAAGCCTTATCTTCCTCTTGAAATTAAAGGAAACAATAATAATGATACATAAGCTAACTTCGAGTAAATAATTTTGTCGATGATAATGTGCCACGTGTGACCAATTGACATGCATCACGAATCAAAGCAGACTGCCTCTTCTAGATGCATATCATCATATCACCATAACAAAAAAACACAACACCATAATGACCAAAAATTCAGTTGACCTACCAATATCTTGACATGCAATAGCCGTGACATCTTCTGATGTAAATCCCCAGAATTCGGCTAAATTTCTCCAATCCATTGGTTTAGCATACTGATGAGAATATTCAAAGAATAATATATTCATGTCTTCTGCATATGTCTGAAACAATAAAGTATGAATTTATTTTGTTTAAATAATCTTTTTTTCATTCAGAATAAATCATATATGCTCATGGCCATAGTGCACAGGATGTCTGGGTTGGATTCCCACCTGATGCACTCCTCAACCTTGTCCGACTGATTTTAAACCTTTAAAAATAGGAAGGTTGGGTTAGCAGCCTTACCTGGTAAGAACAGCAACACCGTTACTGTAACCTAAAAGCTTAAAGCTTGAAATTCCATGTTCCACTCGGAATGCAAGAAGAAGAAATAAATGCTCGAGGCTACACAACCAAGGCAAACATGTAACCTTGAGTTTTTATTTTTATTGACTGGATTCTTTCGCCTTGAATTTGTCTTACAAGGAATTAACCTTAGTTTTGTAGATGAATCATTTCAGTTGATCAGTTGACAAGAATTGTTGACTTTCTCTGCAATAAGTCCTTAACTGTATAGGTGAAGTCCTCAGTGATCGCAGATTTGGACGAATTTTAAAGTCAAAGCTTAACTCGGAAGTTTGACCACTAAATTGACCTGTTCGTATCAGATGAAAAGTTTTGAGAGACTGGGAGAATTTTATGAATATGTACACAGACGTTAACTACCAACTAGTGAGAAATGTTGCTGAAGAAAACCCCGGGATTATTCTTCAGGTTGACTTTTCCAAGAATCTGGTATCAAATTACAATATACTTTACTTATAATTTCATTACTCCATGTACTGAAGTCAAATTGGCAATAAGGGTTTATAAGGTTATATCTGGGACAGTATGCATACCTCAACTTCATCGACTTCGAAAAGGCCTTCGACAGGCAGCGTTAACCGAGAAGTAATCTGGAAGCTACTTGAACACTACGGTGTATCTCAAGTCTTTATCAACCTCACCCAGTAGCTATACAACAGTGGCACATGTCAGGTTGTCCAAGACGGGAAACGCGGCGAGGCGTTCGAAGTGAATACAGGAGTAAGACAATGTTGCCTATTATCACCGATGATATTCTTAATTGTGGTGGACTGGATCATGCGTCAGACTGTTCGTGGGAAGCGAGAAGGCATGAATACGCTGCACTGATCGATGACAAGACTCTAGAAGATCTGGATTTCTCGCGTGCATGATTTATGTTTAGTGTCACACAAACCCCAAGATTTACATGCAAAAACCAACAAACTGGCAGAAGAGGCTGGCAGTGAAGTTAGGACTGCAGGTGAACATAGAGAAGACGGAGGCAATGAAGATAACCAACCAACAGCAACAATAACAACAACAACGACCAGCATCAATCACCATCAACGGGAGAGATTTAACAGAGGTTACACTTCCTTCACTTATCCAGCCAGGAAGCATGGTTCCAAGCACAGCTGGAGGAACGAATGAAGACGTCAAATTCAGAATCAGAAAGGCAATATACGCCTACATCAACCTGAAACTAGTTTGGAAATCTTCTGCACTGACTCAGCATAAGGAACAAGATTCGGATTTTCAACAAAAATGTGAAGTTGGTCCTTCTATAGGGGTCAGAAACTTGCACTGCGTGTCACGAGTAGGATTTCCAACAGGTTACTGAAGACTTTCATCAACAGCTGCCTTCGCTGGCTCCATACAGAAGATCAAATGGCCAGCCAACCAGAAAGAAGGAATTAGCAACAATAAACCCTGCAGTGGAACAAACTAACAAGCAAGAGTTGATCACTCAACAAATATGTAGGAGAAAATCGAGATGGATTGGGTATACGCCACTGAGGAAACCGTCGAATTACATCGCGCACAATGAAGTCGCGTCACCGCTTGAGTGGAATTTAAATGGGAAGCGACGAGGGGGTCGTCGGTGTGAGGTTGACATGGAAGAGATCGTGTGGCGAGGATGAGATGAGAGAGTATTTGGTGTAAAAAGCAACGAAGATTGAGTCACAGTGTTTCTTAAAAGTATTCGTAGTCTTTCTGAAACTTTAAATACTGATGCCAGCATTCATCAATAGGCTTAGTCAAACGCTGCAGCAATGTGTGAAGAGCGATGCTCAGTGACTGGGGAATTTATATCAGGTGGTAAAACTGCAGGATATTATAAATCACAAATCATCCCTGTACGTTCATCATGGAAGAAAAGATGATTAGTGGAGTAGATGCAGCAAACGTTCGTAGGTAAAGCCTCCAAAACACTTGTAATACCCACTCGATAATTAAGGAGGAACACAAACCATATGCCTAGATCTTGCCAATAATAAGTTTTAATGACTATGATATTTAAATCCTCAAACCCATTAATGCGTCTTTTCGAAAACTCTGTTTCAAAAACTGGATGGTGGCTACCCGTGGAATGAAAGATACTTATTTCGACCTATTTGGGACTCGCCATCTGGATGTATCTGCATTCCAGATGATGAGTTCCAAATAGGACGAGATGAGCATCCTGGATCCCACTTCTAGTCACCATCCATCAATTAAATTCTAATTACACGCCCAGACACTGCCCAAGCATCTGTACAAGAAGCCGACATGTCAACCTGAGACCGAGCACTTCGGTCCAATCAATCGACGAGAAAATCTAAAATTCAATTGAATGGAAAATTCATTAAACTAATCAGATACTCATCATTATATTGTAGAAAATGTTTTACTTGACTTGAGATTATATGCTTGAAGTAAATAGACAGGTGGAAATTAAGAAACGGAATTTCGTCAAGGATAGGGAAATGATCCGATCTGAATAGACAAAATGGACAAATAATAGAACCTATTTAAGGGTTCTTCAAGTAATACACCAGGAGTAGAATCCAGGATTTCCAGTTTAAAAGATGAGCTCGTTAACAGTTCAGCCATTCGGAGGGGGTTCAACAGTTCATGAATTGTAAATTCTTCCATTTCGCGTTATATAATACCACAACTAGCCAATATCATCCACAAGACTTTTTCCTCACAGACTGAATTTGGTGTCCACTTGCTTCTTTATAGGAATGTCCTGAGTTTGATATCTAATGGTGTCGAGAGTGTGTACTGATGAAGAGTCCCAAAATAGGACAAAACACCTTTGCAGTACTCTGATTTTCAGTGTTTTTCTAACTGAAGTCAGTTCGTCATCAAAATTGAAATCAATGAAGTCCCAGCGAACGGACACCTGAAAAATCTATTGGGTTACACTCGGGTTGACTGCGTCATTTTCTCATCATTGATGTAATATTAGTTTGCATTCCTTAATGTTCACCTGGATTATAAACTCATATTATGTAAGACACTTCCTACAATATAGTTACCAGTATCTGCCTTGTGTTTTTGATGAATTCTCGAATGAACAGAAATACCAATTTCAGGTGTTGGTTTGCAGGGATTTGATCGGTTTCGGGATTTCATCATGGGCTGACATCGGTTGGTGAATCATTGGAAAACCACCAGGGAGTACTGGACAGCCAGCTGTTTCGTCCTAGTCTCTTACCACTCCTGTAACCAATCAAATCCTTGAAAACCAACACTTGAATACCAATCTGATGCTCACTAGTGATTGGCTCTGTTCAGGTAGGTAGTTACCTGGGTTCTAGTGTGAAGTTGTGACCAGTGGGGTACAGTAGGTTGGGTGTGAGGACAAAACTAGCCAGAGATGATATTGGCTAGTGCCGGTCGCGTTATATCGTGAATTGGCAGAAGTTGGAATTCATGGACAGGCCATTGGATTGGGTCTTAGTGGACTAATGGTCTACGAGGTCGCTCACCTTGTAACTGGACGGTCGTGTGTTCAAACCTTGGCAGTAGGGTTGGTGCGTACTGATGAAGAGACTCAAGAGACTAGGACGAAACAGCCGTCTGTTTAGTACTTCCTGGTGGATTTCCACTGGTTCTCTAATCGGTGTCACTTCATGATGAGATACGAATTTACAGTTTTCGCTAGTGTATTTTTCTATTTGTGACTTGATATTGGAATTCTTTCTGTGAATTTACTCCAGAAAAATATTTTGTTATTTCAGCTGGACAGAAGAATGCAACGGACTAGATCCACTGAAGAACTCTTAGCCATTAATAAGGAAGAAGATTTAAGGTGCTAAATAGAAAAATATGCATTAATAGGACTCTAATGATGGTATTAAATCTAACATTCTATATCACAATGATGGCTTAACTTATCCTTCAACCAAAGGAGGCAGAGAAAACAAGTATTACTGGTGTCAAGGCAACATATCATGTATTCTGGCTGGAGTAAGATCATTTATTTGCACCAAGATATAACAAGAACGTGTTAAAAGTTTATAACCATAATCAGATGTAGTCCATTCGCTTTTAAAGCTCTGAATGTGAATAAATATGCCCGATGATTCAAGTGAAGTCCTACTACAGAAGTGTCTATCGATAGACTATCCATCGTCATTTTTTTCAGTTGACAACAGTTTCACTTACTGTCATTCAACTGTTCTTATATTCCTTTTCATAACCAATTTCCTGTTTTATAGATCTAACCTTCTACAACCATTTATGACATTTCATTAAGTGAAAAGAGAATTTCAACCATTCGATTAACCTTTCCTTTCCTATTTCAGTGTACGTCACTAATAAGATGATGTAACTATGTACCTGATCTTCTTTTGGCCTACAGGAGGAGAACTATGATATGACAACTTGGCAACGACGCAACCAAGAACCCATCGGATGAAACAGATGCGTAGAAGTCAAAGGAGTGAAATATTCAAATGACATTACACTCCATGCGCTCGAGTGGCACTCAAAAGGAGAATTGACAATTTGGATTTAGGTCAAAAACTGACATGCAGAGGATCATAGGAAATGAATGTCTGAGAGCCAGTTCATGGACGGAGTGAGGTGAAAGTGACAACAGAGTACTGAGTTCTTCTCAGAATGTTAGAAATCAATAATAATAATAACAATAACTAATGTAAAGACTTACTTGACACGGTGCTCTAAGAGTAAACGGATTTGATACATTCAAACCATATCCACTGATCAACCGCATATTTCTATTCGACTGATACATTTTTCCACTATTAATACGAAACATTTTCTCACCGTTAGGCAGTTGAATCTCTTCACCTTTAATATGTTGTGATAAATCAGTAAGACTGGTGAATTGCTGATTTCTGCTCAAATTGTGCTTATTTCTTCGACTGCTATTATTATAATGACTACCGTTATTGGTACTAGCACTTGAATGTAAATTGATTTCTGAACTACTAATATTAGTATTATTACGTTTATTGTTCACGCGTATTGCAGAAGAATTTATCCCGTTCGCTGAAGAGTCTTCTTGTAATTGATGAGAGTGCTGCTGTTGGTGGTGTTGGTGTTGTCGTTGGCTCCAGTCACGACTAGCTTCATAGCCTAGAGATAGTTCACTGCCTGACTCAGAACTTGCTGTTGACCTTGAACGATGATCATTCACGAATCGACCATTTTTATTATTCATATTATTATTATTAACAGCATAACCATATCTATCAATGTTGTTATTATTATTATTTTTATTATTGCTGTTAACAAATGATGCGTTTAACTGTTTAAATGGATCAATAAACTCGGACATTTTTAAGTCATCATTGTGAACTGAACTACTTGGTGAGTATAAAATATTCGATGGATAGAATTGTGGCGAGTTTTGTTGTTTAGCTGATTCATTGCGCAGTGATGCCAAGGATTTTTGACCGACATATGTTCCACTATCGTCATCATCATCACCATCATCATCATTATTATTAGAATCTTCACTGTCGCTTATCGTGTCTTTGGCGTTGTTCGCTATCTATAAGTGTAGAATGTTTAGAAATATGAGTGTTAAGGGGAGGGGGATTTAATCATTAAGTGTGAATGATACTGTTTAGCTGATTGGTCTGGATATTCAACTTCTAACTGCTTGTTCAAAGATTGAAACATCATTGTGGCTACTAACGTTCTATCAGCTAGATATTATCTATTAATCAGCCTGCATGAAAGTGCATCAGTGTTGTAAGTCAGTTGTGCGTAAACGTTTATCACATATTGAGTACTTATCTCAACCAATCAGTAACAAATAGTTTAATGGATTTGTGATTGATTTCTTCATTACAACTCATAGTATCAAGCTGATCATATATTGTGATCGGAATAATTTCAGCTAATAAACAAAATGGTGGCAAAACCTCACCTCGAGATGTCTAATTTATAAATCAATTGACATGGAGGAGATGAGAGATTGTGGGCAATCGTGGACGTAGCTGAAGAGGATGGCAGAAAATATAACAAATAGAAGATGCGTTGTTGAAGCCCCATGTTCCACTTGGAACTCAAGGGAATAATAATAATTATTATCTACCTTAATATATTCTACATTCAATTTTCGTGTTTATTACACTTTGTAATTTTATTAATTTGACGTTTGTCCGGAAATAGCTCTGGAACTTTCCCACCCAATTACTAGAAATACACGAATGTATAGCCTCTATTGTTGGCTTCGTCGAAAAGAAAATTTTCCCTTAGCTGCAACCGTCTTTTAATTAATCCCTAAGATGAAATCCAGTTAAAAATTGGAATATCATTGTAACGACAGAAGACAAGGGCTAGGCAACAGATCTTTTTTTGAGAAAATCAACAGATATTTATAGATTTTTATGTACGTTAGTTGTCAGTGGAGAAGTAATGTCTTCCGATTGGTTGCTTTCTTGCTGAAGACTATTCTGTAATCTCTTTGTGACCGTTTCTCAGAAAGTTAAGCCATATATCTGCGAATCCTATTTGAAAACGTTAACTCTGTTGTGATTGGTTGGTGAATTCCTCAACGTTAAGCTTTTTCATTGTTTTTCTCATGACTCTGATTCGGGATGTGAACACTGATGGAGACTGTTGTCTACAATTTTGGCTTGCAGCCAGCTCTCGCCACAACATTAGTGTATTTGAATGAAGCACTGGTGAGGTGTACTCCTAATGTAACATTTACTTTCATTGACACAGTTCACCGACAAAAGGATAGGATTGTTATTTGATTTCCCTCGGGTCCATTACTATCAGACTGTTTCATAACAAGGCTGAAAATCGGTCCATTAAAGTTGACTACTGATAATTTTCAGCTGTATACAAGGTATGTGAACAGTGATAATGAACTCAGTCAGTTGTTGTAAGTATTTAACAACTTTTTTAAAAATTTTTATTCCTTCACGTTCCCAGTGGAACATAGGGCTTCAAGCCAGAGGCTTGGAGTTTCTGTATCAGTTGTGATTATTTTTACAGGATGGGGTTGCTAGCCTCATGCACAACCTTCCCTCTTTACCAGTCTTATTGCTGGCTTACCGAGGTAAAGAAGTGCCTCGTCGGTGGCCGAGGTTTGAACTCCGGACCACCTGCGTGGTCGTCGAGCACTCTACCGCTGTGCCACCAACGCACAAACAACTGCCATCTAGCAGTAAAATTCTCTCTTGAAATGGAAAAGGAATGCGAAATTCTCTTTCTTTCTTTATATGGAACTAACAAGAAGGTCAGATGGAACCTTAAGAAAGTCAATCCATAGGAAATCCATACAGGAAGGTTGACTAACAAGTTTCAACAGTTGGTTGTCTGTTGAAAGAAGACGAATTTGGATCAAACTCCTTGCCACTCACATTCAACACATCTGTAGCCTTGGATGCTGTAGAAGAAGCAGACCTTCTGAAATGAATTTTCATTCTAATAGGGTACCCATAGAGATTCACTGACAAGAACATCAAACCAGAACTTCGGAGAAACGAGGCATTATTTGTACCAAAAAATGAGACTTTACATAAATAATAATAATGACAGTAATGGCTTTATTTCCGAATATTACTCCTTTGATTTTGAGGGAAACTTAACCTGAGATAAGAGAAGAATTTAATCTTCCTTGAGAAGAAATGACTGAATTTGAGAGGAATAAGAATTTACTAAAAGGAAAGAACCTTTTTGCTGCACACCACTTGGTTTTTTCTTTTCATTAATACAAAGTAACAGAAACAACAAGATACTTACCTTCACATTTTTACGAGGTTTAGGACGATATCGTCTTGATTGTACTGTTGGCGTTGCACACTTATTCTCTTGCATATTGATAATTTCATCAAGAAAGCTTTCAGCATTCTCCTATTAGATAAACAGAAAAAGAAGAATATGAAGAGTAATAGTAGTAGTAGTGATCAATACATATGTGTATATATATGGAATACATTTCTGGGTCTCTTGTCCTTGCTGTTCATCGAAATCTGTCGAGTGATTTTACAGAAGTTCGGTGGCTTAATCGTAAACTGATTGCCTTGTAATCTAAAAGTCTTGCGTTCAGTCTTTGTTGTTAGGGAGTGTATCGTGAATTTCTGGCTCATTGGGCAAGGCGCTAGACGTCTAACCACTGGGTCACAGTTTTGAACCCGTCTCCACCTACTAAAATTTAGGCAAGAAGTTAATACCAATAGGCTTCACTGTCAGTTACATGATAATGCAATTGACTGCTGACAGAGTTGAGTGCATACCACTGTAAAGTCCGAGACTGAAATAGAACAACCATTCAGTTCCTCTCCGGTTTTCAGCAGGTCTTCTAATGAATGTCTACTGATGACGAAACATATCAAGAAATCGAAGAAATATTCAAAATCCCATTACATGAAGATCAAGTTTACAGTGAATTAGATGTTGTCTTTTTCTTTGACATCACAAATACCCACAAGTTTTCATTCCTCTCTTACGCAATCTTCGGAATGTCACCCTTGAACCCATTCCCAACTTATCATTTCCCATTAGGGTTCCAATTGTCAGCTTGGTATGTGATGCCACCTGAAGGTCCCTCAGTGTTTGTCCAATCCACCTCTATTTACTTCGGCCTATTTGAAGGGCACTGGGTTCTTGGTAATCTTACTCACTGTTAACTTTCCTTGTTGATTATCCTATCTGACTATCTTATCTTCAGTGTCGAGCGAAGTCAGCTGATGATAAAAGTCTTCAGTTGCTTGTTGGAAATGCTTTGTTATGTTTAGTGTGGTAGACGTTCAGATTGATTTCAGAGCAATGGCTGTCTCCCTTGCTTTTTCAAACCTGTTTGGGTTGAATTCTTCGTCCATGCCGTCTGTAGTTGAAACGACGCTTCGTAGATTAGTGAAACTGACGACGCCTTTCGAATTTCTCTTGTTGATGGTGATTGATGCTTCTTGTTGATCGTGAGGGGACTTCATCATCTCTGTCTTCGCTGTGTTCACTTGCCTTCACTTTCTGATTCTCCTGCAATCTTATTAGTTTTCTCCTGAATACCTGAGAGTTTGTGTGGCATTATACATAAACTGTCCAAGAAGTGCAGACCAATTAGAATCTTCTTGTCGGCACGTTGTGTTTCTGTGTTCTCGCTTCTCATGCACAGTCTACGGGATGATCCAGCACACCACAATCTACCTTTTCATCGGTGCCGCTAGGCAGATTTGTTTTGTTTCCATCTTCACTTGGAAATCATCGATGAGTTAACAGTTGTGGATCACTTGAGATGTGACATCATCAAGCTAACCTGAAACAAACAAACATTCTAAAATGTCGACTTAATAGAGCAGTAGATAGAACATTTCCTGCAGCTAAATTGGTACTCAACTTCTCAATTAAACCAGTACTCACACAGCAAGTCAAGGATAAATTGCCAAGGATTGCCTCATCAATGTGTATCTATGAATTCAACTGATCATGTGGAGCTAGTTACATTGGCCATACTTAGAGGGCTTTATCCATGCGCGCGAGTGAACATATAGCTCTATGGCTGAGTAAAGGGGGTAACCAAATGCGTAAGTAGTGCAGTCATAGTCCACTTGTTAGATACTGGACACCCGATAAAACTTGACCAGGAGTTCTCAGTTATTTACCGCGTTCCTGGTAATCTATCTAAGGGAGCTGGACTACGTTTACCTTGGCCCACAATAAGGCCAACAAATCCTCCATAAACATTAGCACTTTAAATTCCTATCGCAATTTTTTCTTTTCTTCTTCTATTTCTTTGTTTCATTGACAAACGTTCATTTAAGACTTTTATGATTTCATGACCTTTCTTATGATTTTATTACCTTAGATTTAAGTAGTGCTTTTCTAACTTGTTATCGTATTTACAAAATCCTGTTCACTTCACTTCATTATATTCATTATTATTATTTGACAATCATTCACCAATAGTACATTTAAGTTTACACCACATCATCGTTATTATTTTACAATCATTCTTATTGTCGTTATTTTCAACCTTGAACTTATGTCTAGACCTTCCCGTTCGTTGGTTTATTTTCTATATTGCCTCATACACCCTGATTACACTCACTGTAGGCTATATTTATTTATATACATACACATCATTAAATTAAATTACTTCATCTCATTTTGCCCCATGTTCTCATTGACCATGCATATTAGAAAACTAACTGACTATTGTTCCATCCCATCCATCTTACTTATACTTGTTCCACAATACACTTTCTGATATGATTCTAATTTGTCTTTACTGGCTGGCTGGCTGGCTATTGTATGCTTAAATTAATGGACTTATAATTGTAGAGCCTGAAGAAGATGAACTTATTGAAGCCACAATTGTTCGCTCTAAATATTTTGTTTTATTTCTGTTTGTTTCGACTATCGGTAAATATTTCACTTTCAGCACCTGTATTAAAAAATCGAATATTCCCACTGTTATTTCCTATTTTTGTTAGTAAAACGGGAGTCAAGAGAAGATGTAAGTTCATGAAAGGGATATCTTCAAGTTATAGCCTGTGGGCATTTCAATGATTCGAACTTGAATCACAAGTTGATGTCGTCTTAGTTTTGGAGCTTTTCGGTAATACACACCCATGACTAAACTTGAGATCAAACACAGGACCTTCAGTTTACCCGGCGAGCTCACTGATCATTCAGTCACTTCATTGGAATTCTCTAGCTCATTGATTCTAATTTCTACCATTTCTGTAACGACTCGACCATCCAATACCGAGGGCAAGTATCTGTCTCCATCTTGATAAAATTTCGATAAATGATCCTTAGGATTAGACGGATAAGTTTAAATTTGGTAGCTGGTCGGCAGCTTGTTTGTACTTAATAATTCATATATGCATACACTGGCGTCGGTGATTTAACAGAAGTGACTTTCATAGTTTCATCTTTCAGTCATCAGTGTAGCGCATGACATCCATCAGGTCATCATAACCTACATTTCACTGCTTTTCTTTTGGCTGTTTTTGTTGAATACCTTCCGAATGTTTTCATAACAATTTGAGACTATTGTTCATTCGACTACTAAGCAGTTGCATGTCGTAGGTCGAAGGCTTCCTGCCGATTGCCTCCAACCATCTAATACCAACAATTCACAGTGCACCGTAATGGCGAGCCACCTAGCATAATGACCACATTGCAAACATGACTGATAGAATTCAGTCTGCACCGAATATAGGACTAGACACATTACACTAGTTACTGACTAGTGTGCAATCAAAAATATCCAATACAGTCCTACAGGAGGTCAGTCGCGAGCCTGAATAGCTCAGTGGTAACGTCTCTGACTGCAGCACTGGGTGACGCGGGTTCCTTCAAAGCTGCAGATACGCCTTGCTGATGAGTGCTAACTAGCACGAAAACCAGGTCCAAGGCTTCCTGCCGATTGCTTCCAACCATCCAATACTTGCTTTTTCATTTTTCTGTTTGTTGAAGAGTCGCTGCTATTGGTTGAATGTTCAAAGGTCTTACTTCGAAACTTGAAGGTCCTGGCTTCGATTCTCTATGGGGTCCTGTACTTTCTGGTTTTCAATAATACTCTAACTAATCTCAATTCGTCATCAAACTTCAAAATCAGTCAACCTGCCTAAAAAATACACTTGAAGTTTATAATTTTGGTTAAACAGAGAGTAAATACGAAACTGCTTACCGGATATGTCTTCCTCCATCTATCAGCACGTATAATCATATCCACTAGTGCTGTATAGTTCGCTTTAGCTGCAACCATAAGGGGTGTTAATCCATCCTAAAATTTGAAATTAACAAAATATAAATAGGCGAAATAGTAGGAACATTGATGGAAAAGATTTATAGCTCAGGAGATTGATTTCCTGTCCGAATGTATTTGCGTCTTCCTAATCAACACCTTCAGTGCTGACTTTAATAAAAAGTCAAGAGAGAAAGCTGTTAGAAGTATAAACTGTGTTTTCAAGTTAGCGCTGAAGACTCTATCTAGAAAGAGTGAACGCTTCTCAGTTAAAACAACTAGCTCATAAAATACAACGTCATCGATAGTTATGAATCACTTGGTTCTCTTAATGAATTTCGGTAATACAATAAGAAGACTTAATTTATCTGAATTGTGCAATTCATTTGTGCAACACACAGTGGGGTGTGTGCTACTGATAAGATTTATCAGTAGTATAAATATAAAGAGATGTTCACTGGCATGAAAAACACCAAATAGTAGGGAGATAGATATGACATCAGAGAAAGCAAATAATTCAACGTTGCGAAGATACAGGGGAGACGTGAAAGGAACACAAACAAACACAGAATTAAGGAAGGGGAGAAGTAGCACAACATGGAAGATCTGTGAAAATGGTTCGTTGAAGAAAAGATGATCATAGTTCCGCTATATAGGGATACAAACTGGCTAATAAACATTCCTCCTCTAAGTCTTCGTCTTCTGTCGTTACAACATGACACTTTTGAAATAAAATATGAGGTAACTGTCACTGTGACAGTGACCGCTTTTTGTTTTCTGCAGGATGATTGTGTCATATTGTAACAACAGAAGACAAGGGCCAGGCAACAGATCGTTTATTAAGGAAATCAAAGCACATTTATATATTTTCATGTATATTGTTATAGTTTAGTTAAGCAAACAAACACAGTCTTCTGATTGGTTGTTTCTCACTTAAAGTTAATCTTTCATCTATTTGTGACTGTTTCTTGAATGTCAGATCATCTATATGTTAACTGTATCCGCCTACGCAAAGTCTGCTGTAGTCAGTTTTGAATCAGTCTTTGTTCATATTTTCTCATGACAAATTTTGAGAACGTAAACATTGACGTAAATTACTGTCTACCAATTTGGCTAGTAGACAGCTCTCACCACAGTATTACTTAGCTTAAAAAGCAGAAAGACTTCAAAGTCCTCTGCTCGAAATCATGTTGTTGTTGTTTGAAAGGGTATGGAGAGATGTTCTCCGGGATGACAATATGTAATACTGTCATTCAGTGGTGCACAGTATCCCCATTCTTATGTAGCTTTCTCATTGATGTCACAGCTATGTTAGGTAAGTGTGAAGATGAAATGCTCTAAGTGTGTCTAGCATGGCGGCTACCTCTGTTAAGTACAAGACTATTCTATAGGCATGGTTTGAGCTGACAGTTAGTCTGAAGAGAGGAAGTGAAAGGGTTTAATGAAACGACCACTCAGCTTACAGAAGGCTGGTTGGCCATTTGTTTTCTCTAGTCGTCTTCGACGCAGGTATGATATCCAGCTATTTATCAAAGGACGTGTATACGGTGCCATCGTCTGTTTCGTAGTTTACAGCTGTAAGGGAATTGAAAAGACTACAGTATTCAAATCGCAACTGTCTTCGTCTAATTGTTCTCGTAGGATGAGATAGAGTGTAAAAGGATTATATGAATAGGGACGTTGTTAGGTAAGGAGAAAAGTCACTGGACAACGCTGCATACTTTATCGGCTGAGGTGAATACGATATACGCTATGCGTGCTGAACTACCATATTCTTTGACGTGCAGTTTTACTTGATACAGCGTTAAGTTGAAAATAGTTAGTAGTCATATCAGACCAGGATGTTACATCAGTCAATAAGGTTTCACTCCCCAAATGAGTAACAGCAAAAGTTTGTGTTGCTTTGTTTACTGGCTGAATTCTTATTTCTCACGAAGAAAGCAGCACATTAAATGTAGGGAGATTCGTCCACTTCATTGCTTAATCAGACTGGTGTCCACCATGAAGCTGTTCTTTCTCTTTTTCTGTCCTCCTTCTTCTTGTATGACTTGCCTCACTCTGATGAAATGAACTTTGTTAATTATGCAGACGACCTAACTGTTTCAATGCCATTTAACTCTCAGATAGATTGTAATAAGATGAACAGCTTTCTATCAAGGGTCGAAAATGGTCTTTGACTAATGGTCTTAAACTGAATCCTTATAAATGTCAGATGGTTAATTGCAGCTTCAAATGTAAAATGAAGTTAAATGAAGCAGTTAATTCCCATGACCATTGCAAAATTTATGATAGTGATATACAAGTCAAGTCTGACGTCAACTATCTAGGACTAATTCTTTCTTCTGATCTATCTTGGTCTTCGTATGTCTCAGCGATTTCTAGAAAAATATTCCATCCAACATTTTACATTAGGAAGTTGAGGAACTCAAGCATAACTCAAGGCCTCCTCCACCTCCTACACTTTTTCAACTCTTGCATCCTACCTATTCTTCTTTACTGTTCACCCTTGATTCTTCCTGGGTTGCTTATAAAGGACTAGGTGATACTTTGTAGAACTCTGAAGACTGTCAGTCAGAAGGGTGAGTGTTATCCAATTGGGCCATATCCCTGACATCGTCATTACTGATAGGCACTTGATTTCATGCAATAAATTTGCTAAAGGGATTTTGTCAGACTGTGAGCATCCACTGCAGCAGCACCTGTAGCTTCAACGTTGCATCTCCTCATATAGAAGAAGAAGTCATTTCAAAAGATTTCAGGAGTGCACATGTAAGTATGAGCATTCTGCGACACTATATTTGACATGTATTTCATGTGATGAAAATAGTGTCAGGCACCAACTAACTAACTAAATAACTAACCTTCTTTTCACTAGTAAATAAACAATTTCCTCCATCCATATACCATCTATGTTTACTTCTATTATCCCCCTTGTATTCATAGTCCTCTCATTTATTTTGTTTTGTTCATTTTCTCATCAATGTAAACCTCATTTGGCCTCTGTAATAATTGGTAATTTTCTTGTTTTTCTCCTCACCAAGCCATATCAAGAGGACATTACATTCCATACTCTGTAGCATTCTAAGATTTCCATACTATATCGACAGTACTGTTTGATACAAACCCACTGTTATTATTATTATCACTATAATTATTATTCTCATTTTTACTTTGCACATGTTTTTACTTTATTCCTACTGTAAATGTGGCAATGTTCCTGTGGTTAATTTTATTTATCTTTTGAGGAAATTAGATGTAACATTGTGACAAATGCTTAGAATTCCGTGCTGTATAATGAATACCGTTTTTGGAATTAGGCAGATTGTTTTTATAACTATTTGAATCGGCTTAGTTCAGCAGATGAGGTGGATTTTATATACTGGCTAAATGGACGCTAGTTTCCATAGGAAGACATCTATATCCCAACCAGCCATTATCAGATAGCATGATAGACAGACATTTTGAATTTCAACGGTTTACTGTGGGGAATTCGTAATTCAAAGATGTTCACTTCCACGGATCGCATTTTGCACTTCATTAGTCTGAGTCTGTGAGACAAATGTCTTGAATCGAACATATATGTTTCAACATGGATAACGAGGTTCACTGTGTGTGTGTGCGTGGGTGGGTGGATAAAAAAATTAACCAACCAATCAAAATAACTTTGTCGTTACAACTTCTTATTTTCATTCGTTATTTAATACTGGCGAAATCAACCAATCACTTTTAAGTCGATTACAATAATTTCTCACCTTGTCGATCAAATCTAATGGAGCACCACAAAATAGAAGAGCTTCAACTGCTTCAAGTTTATTTTGAGATATTGCATAATGAAGAGGTGTTTGTAAACGCTAAAGAAATTAGAAAAGAAAAAACAATAAACAATGAATATGCAAGTGAATTGGCAGAAGAAGTTGGAATTCCTGAGACAATGGATCGGGTCCCAGTGGTTGATGAATGGTGTACAAGTTCGCCATGTAACTAGAGGACCCTTTGCTCGAATCTCGATGGGTGAGTGCACCTAAAGAGTCACAAAACTAGGGGGAAACAGCTATCCACTACTCTTAGGTGGTTTCCCATGATGAAATCCTGATATATAAATGTGTTTATACTTACAAATTTGTGTACTTCCACATACATACATGCACGCATGAACTTCTTTGGGGCATTTGGACGTTTTTACTTTATAAATGAATTTATGGCTTTCGTAAAAGACGGTGCCGGTAACTTTGAATTCCTATTAGGTATGACTTATAACTTTGTTTAACAATAAAAGGAGTCGAACCGTTGTTTTTGTCTTCTTGATAGTAAGATAAGTATCCAACACTATCACGGTATTTAATATTGGTTGATCAATATGAGTAGTTTGATGCTAACTCACATCCACCAGTGGGACTTTCTAGCCAGTTAAGTTAAAGCAACTTAAACACAAGATGGCTATTGCGTTCATTTGAGACTTCTCTCATCAACAGTGTACCCGGTTTGACCAAGTTTAGAGTGCCGAATCCGTTCGAAATTCCTTCTGAAATCTAGCTAGCTAATTGGGTGAAATCGAAGTGTATATACAGAATTCTTGATTGAACACAAGTAAGAAACTAGTGTGATGTATCTAGTACCATCTTCGGTGCAGACTGAATTCTGTCAGTCAAGTTTGCAATGTGGCCACCATGCTAGGTGGCTAGCCATTACGGTGCATTGAGAATTTTCGGTATAAGATGGTTGGAGGCAATCGGCCACAGGAAGCCTAGTGTCCAGTCATAAATATCCAATACAGGAGGTCAATTGCGAGCCAGCCCGAATAGCTCAGTGGTAACGTTTATGACTGGAGCACTGGGTGATACAGGTTCTTATCTCCTCAGAAGGGACATAAGTTCCTTCAAGGTTGCAGATACGCCTTGCTGACTGGTGCGTGGGGACTGGCACGAAACTTGGTCCAAGGCTTTCTGTGATCGATTGCCTCCGACCATCTTATATAGACAGAATTCGTAATTTACATTTTGAGGTGAATTTTCACCCCTACTTCCATAAGAAGCCGAAAATACGCCATAAGTGGTGAACGTGATACATTACTCAGGGAAGAAAAATTAATCAACTGAGTGATTTATCATTTATTAACAGTACAGTAATATTTTCGATTGTCGGCTTGCAATGATTTGATAAATTTCAAGTGAGATCACGAATGAACATCAGTTAGAGAACTACAGGAAGCCAAGTGATGGAATTTCTGCTGAAATGGCAGAAATTAGAATTCATGGTCCATTGAGTCCTCACCCACTGGTTGAATGATCAACAAGATCATCTTGCATCTTGAAGGTCTTGGATTTCACCTATGATGTAATCATGGAGATGTACTGTCGAAGAGGCCTAAACCAGGACGAAAGAGTACTGTCCAGTAATTCAACGTTTTCGGTAGTCCTATAACTAAAGTCCATCACTTTATGGTCTGACTTAAGTAACATTGTTTTGACGAACAGTTCAACGATCGACCGTCTATGCCTTCACGATATTTAACAGCACAATATTGATTTAGTTAGAAATGAAATAGGTAAGATATATTCCATTTCTTAAATTGAACTGATTTAGTTCATCCTAAGTATATACAGTCACAATTAATGGCACAGACATACAGAAAATCAAAAACAATAATTAGTGAGAAAATAATGACTATCAACAATTCCACAAACTTACATCATTCACAGCGGTTAGGTTAAATTTTCTTGAAAACAGAAAGTAGATAGTGTCGGTTAAGTTAGCCATTGCAGCTTCGTGTAGAGCTGTTTCTCCAGTCTATAGTAGACCAAACAAACAAAAAAAAACAATGTTAAATATATGATCAATGCCAAATAAATAACTTCTGCCAATTCACAGTATGGCGTGACCAATAGCAAATGTCATCGCTGGTGAGTATTTGTCCTCACATCAGACCTACTATACTCCATTGGTCACGACGTCTCACTAGAACCCAGTTACCTACCTACCTGAATAATGCCAGTCACTAGTGAGCATCAGATTGATATTCAAGAGTTTATTTGCAGAGGTGTGATTGAAATAATAGAGAAGATTTGTAGCTCAGGTGGATGATTTGCAATTAATAGTATTCTCTGAGCTGGTTGGTTTAGTTGCGGAGCTTTTGTTGTCCTTCTGGACAACATCTTCAGAGCAATATTTAGCATAAAGTGAAATGATTTAAATTTCTTCATGAGTGATAGAATTGCGTCTCCTGGTAACCATCTTTACATTTGTATTGACCATTTTCTATTGACTTGGATTTCAAACTTTCTGGTCACCTGATTTACTTTTTATTAGTTGGTATATTTCGTCTATATTAACGTGTTTGTTAATTGCATTTTCGTTTGAGTACCAGGCTTCTAGGAATTCCCTGGCACTTTTGGTGTTTCCTCTGTCTAAGATTTCGACATTATCCCAATCAAATTGATGTCCATAATTGTCTATATGCATTGATACTAAAGAATATATATCGTGTCTTTTCACAGCTGATTTGTGTTCTTGGATTCTAATTCGAAGGGGACGCCCACTTTGGCCGATGTAATGCTTGTTACAGTTCATACAATTTATTTTGTAAATGGTATTAATTTTATCTCCTTTTTCTGTTGGATCTTTCGGTTTGCATAATATCGAATTAAGCGATTTGACTGGCTTGTGTGCTATATCTATATCAAACGGTTTCAGTATTCTAGCTGTTATTTCAGAGATATTCCTCATGTATGGTAGAATGAATTTTCTTGTGGTCTTTGATGATGGTTTCTTGTTGGTGTTTTGATTCGACTTTAAACACTTTTTGATGAAATTTTGTGGATAACCATTCTTTTTGAAGACCGTTTGTAGGTACTTTTCTTCCATTCTTTTCAACTCTGGAGTGCTACAATGTGTTTGAACTCTTTTAAACAATGTCTGCACACAGTTTCGTTTGTGAGTAACTGGATTATTGCTAGTATAGTTGAGTATTTGATCTGTGTGCGTTGATTTTCTATATACTTGTGTTTCTAAATCTCCTGTGTTGGTTCTCCTGATTAAGACATCTAAAAATGGGATTTTGTTATCTAATTCTTCTTCTCTTGTGAATTTGATGTCTTCAAATATGTTGTTTATTAATTTATGGGTATATTCTAAATCATTTCTCTTAATTATTACAAATGTATCATCAACGTAACGTATCCAGATTTTCGGTTTAATCATAGGTAGAGCTATTAATTCTAATCTTTGCATAACGGCTTCAGCTATTAATCCTGATATGGGCGATCCCATTGGTGTTCCTTTTATTTGTTCATATATTTGAGTATTGAATTGGAAGTATGTTGTAAGGCATAATTTTATGAGTTCTACCCAAGTTGAACATTGCGTTTTTATGTTTTCATCACTATAGAGTAATTGTTGCATAGTTTCTGTTGCTAGTTTTGAACTAATTGAAGTATATAATGCTGTGACATCAAAGGACACCATTATTTCATTGTCTTCTACTTGAATGTTTTTGATTTTCTCTAAAAATTGGATTGACGAATTGATACAGTGGTCACATGATTCTGTTAGGTAATTTAATTTCCTGAAAAGTTCTTTAGATAGATTATATGTTGGTGTTCCTGGAAGCGAAACGATTGGTCGTAAGTACATGTTTGATCTGTGTGATTGGTTTCAGGCTTAATGGTCTACGACCTCACCTCGTAACCGGTAGGTCTTGGGTTCAAACCCTGACGATGGGTGCGTGCTGATGAAGAGTCCCAAACCAGGATGAAACCGCTGTCCAGTACTCCCAGGTTTTCCAGTGGTTCTCTAAACGATGTCAGCTGATGATGAAATCCCTGCACACCAACACTTGGATACCATATAAATAAATTGGATGGAGTAGTTCCACAGTAGATTTTCTCAAAAATTGATATCAATTAGAAAGTCGTTGGTAATCATGGAGTACAGGGAAGTCTCTCCTTTCTCATTCAGGATTCTTCATCAGTGCACTTTACTGGCCACATTAGAGATAGAACTCATGGCCTTAGAATATGAGAAGACACAGGCCTACCACTTAGGTTTTTCTTAGTTCAAAATGCAATCGATAAATGTCCACTTTTCAGCCGAAATGTTAAACCACGTCACGAATCCATAGAAGCTAGAATTCACAGATTATTGAATTCTCACCTGGTGGATGGATAGTCAACAGACTCGTCCCGCATTCTGGATGGTTTTGCTTTGAACAGTGATGTGAATAGTCATGAACTTGGACAAAACACAAATCCAGTGCCCTACAGTTTTCAGTGACTCCTCAGTTAATGTCAGTCCGTAGCGAAATTTACATTAAAACTAATTAAGATTCCTACAAACTCAAAAGCCTGGCTTCGATAATGCTGAAGAGTATATTTCAAATAAGTGAAGAATGAGAATAGCCTTGGACAAGTAAGAAAGGTTTAAATCCTGTAATGAATGTAGAAGGAGATTACGCAGTAATTTAAAAGAAAATTAACATCACTTCCCTAACAATCAATAATGCATGCCAATAAATAAAATTTCAGTGTTTCTCGATAACCATTCACAATTCTATGGAGTAACATAGTGTGGCTGCCCATATCTTCACCCACTTGTTGGAAGTCAAGTGCTTAAAGTAATGAACCATAGCTCTAGTCGATTATGAAGCCAAGTCTTATTTGCATAAGCAATCGACTTCCAGACAGTGGCTCATGAGTTTGAACTCCACTCCGTCGACTTTATTAAAGGATTAGTATGTAGAACAAACCCACTGACAAGAGGCAGTCAAATTATAAGAGCATAGGAATTCAGGTCAATGTGAAATGTTAGACCCTAATAAGCAATCAGAGCTCGTTGTATACCGAACCAGTATTTGGACAATAAAGTGATCACTTCACAATTTGACGATTCTAAATCTGATTTCGCCAGGTTCTGTTGGTGTTCAACAGTGGGTTGTCCAGGTCTAGTGCTATATAGCTGTCGAAACAGTTCGAGCTTATTGCCTGTACTTTTAAATGTCTGGCTGTATTTCTCTCACCCGACATATGACCTTGGAATCCTATTGGCGGTTGATTGTTTGAATTTATCAATGCAATTAGTGTCTCTCAAGGTCATTTAAAGCACTGTCAATCATTTGCACTGTTGATACGAAACACTAGAAGCTCTCATTGTCAACATTCTATTTTCTCTTCTTGCCTCCGTGTTGCTGCTGTCATTGCTGTCAATAATATTGGTTAGAATAGTAGGCTCACGAATCGATTAGGTAGGAAATTCGTCAGGGCAAATAAAAGTGTGTTAATAGCCATACCAGTTTATTCAGCTGACATTAGTCACGAAATCTAATGTCGAACTAAACAAACCATATTTATCCAAACTGTTGGTAAAATGTTATTCGGAAAAATATAACTTTTGCTGAATATAATAATGACAAATTTTAGTGGTTGGAGACTGTTCACGCACACCAGTAATTCTAAAGACACTGAACTAACTTCATCCTTGATCATTGTTGTAAACAGACTACCTGAGTTCAGACAGCCAATTATGAATTCTGAATGGACCGAGTACACGAGGTCCAACTAGCTGGTTGATGAATCCACAATCTGAGGTGCGACATTGGAGTACTGTATGTTTAGAAACCGAATGAATCCAAATAACTGAATATAGCCTTCACTTAAGATTTCATGCTATCGGTTTTAATACACTGATCTCGTGTATTTACACTATAGTGATATGAGCAGTGGTTAATATCGCTTCAGACTACGCATATACTATGCACTCAGTATAGTTACAACTCTCAGATCGATTATACTGTCGGATAGGTCACGCTGTGTGAAGTTAACACTTACTTTCACTGACTAGTAAGGAATATACATATTCCACTATGTTACTGAAAATCATAAGAAATAGGAACTGACGTTGTGCGGTGGACTTAAGGAAATAATATTTGAATTTATATATGTGTATGTATGATTGTATTCAAAATCTCATAAATACGCTACATTTCACTTGCCACACAACAAAAATCAACTTCAGCAAATCTTTCTGACAGTTGAGATTGCCGGTGAATGTATTAAACGATTCAAACCAACAGCGTTCTAACTAAACTGGAGGTCTACATGATCTTAAAAAACTGTTTTAACTAAGTGATCGCTTTGCATTAAAGATAAAAACTCAGCTGTTGAACAGCTATATAACAGTGAAGCATGTCAGGCTATCCACAGAGTAAAGCTCAGCGAAGAAGCCCTCGAAGTGAATACACGAGTAAAACAAGCTGGCTGCCTACTACCACTGATGATATTCTTAATTGTGGTGGACTAGATTATTCGTCACATTGTGGAGAGTGAGGCGTCAGGAATACGCTGGACCACCGACATCGCCAACGATTTATGTTCAATGTTACACAAACTCGAAAAATTACAGGCAGGGGAAAACCAACAAACTAGCTAAAGAAGCAGCTCGCGGAGACAGGACTGTAGGTGAACATAGAGAAGACCGAAGTGATGAAGATAAACAACTGACTAACCAACAGCAACAGCAGCAACCAGCACCAATCACCGTCAACGGGAGAGATTTAACAGGGGTTACCTCCTCCTCTGATCCAGCTAGGAAGCATTGTTTCAGCCACAGCTGGCGGAATGGATGAATATGTCAAAGTCAAAATCGGAAAGCAAGATAGACCTTCATCAATCTGAGACCAGTTTGGAAATCTTCTGTGCTTACTCAGCATAAGGAACAAGATTCGGATTTTGAACACAAATGTGAAGTCGGTCCTTCTCTATGGGTCAGAAACTTGCACTGCATGTGCGTCACGAAAAGAATTTCCAACAGGCCACTGCAGGCTTTTATCAGAAGCTGCCAACTCCGCTGGTTCAAATGAACATCAAATGGCTGACCAAAAGGAATAATTAACAAGAAACTGTGGGTGGGAAAAAACCAACCAAGAACTGATTGCTCAACAAATATCTAGAAGAAAATGGAGATGAATCGGGCATAATCTGAGGAGGTCGTTGAATGACATCGCACACAGTTCAGGTCATCTCTCTACTGGAATTCTAATGAGAGGCGAAGAATGGGTTATTATTTCGAGGGTGATATGGAGGAGATCGTGTGAAGAAGAGATAAGAGAGTGTGGTCAATCGTTGTCCGAGCTGAAGAGGATGACAGAAGATAGGACAAAATTTAGATTTGTTGTTGAAGCCCTATGTTCCACTCGGAACGCAAAGGAACAATAATAAATAATAATAGTGATGTTGAAGTAACATTGGGTTGTGGTTAGTCAAATAACCTGACAGACCTATCACTCCTCGCTCTTACGTCGAGTGATGTTAAACGAGAGCTATGATTCCAGTTGAATGGTAGTACTTTGTGTATGGACTTAACTTTGATATATATATACATGTATAGTTACCTTGGTCTTTTTCTCCTTATCTGCATTGTTTTCAAGTAGTAGATCAATACACTTGTGAAATCCTTTTCTGGAACATTCAATCAACGGGCAAGCATGATTCTAAATACAAAACAAAACGAAATAGAAAAAAAGTCAAAATATTCCTTAAAAAACTATTCAGTAATCAATTGATGGATGGTAACTAGCAGTGGAATCGAAGAGGTGCATTTCGTCCCGTTTGGGGCTCGTCAGACAGATGTACCTTCATTCCCCAGTGGTTCAGCGAGCATTGGTATTCCCACTATGACTCGAACCTAGCACCCATAGTTTCAAACGCCGAAGTATTATCCACCAGACCGCTTTAGCCACGAGAGCCACCTCTTTCTTTTACTACAGGTGTATCAGTAATTATACAATTCAGTTTGCAACAGGACGAAATGCGAATCTTCCAAGATTCCACTACTAGTCACTTTCCACGAATTTACTTCAAGCTGAGTAACCAGCCATCCTCGAAGCATCTGAACAAGGAGCCGACATGTCAACCTGAGGTCGAGCACTTCAGTCCAATCGGTCAACAAGAAGGTGCAAATTGAACCAAACAGTTATTCAATAATAATTTAGGAAGAAAATATACTGAATAATATTTCAGTTTTTCCTTTTTCATTTTGAAATACGTTACTGTTCGTTTGCGAATCTCTTATGAAAAATGATATGAACGTAGGTATACTGTGGCGAATGCTACTGATATGATTTACCAGTAGTATATAATGAGATGTTCATCGGTACAAAAATATCAGATAGCAGAGAGAGACATTTGATTTTAAGAATAGGCAAATGCTAAAGCGTTGCGGAGTTACATGGGAGACGTGGGAGGAACACAAAGAAACGCAATATGAAGAACAGAAGTGCCACAACACGAAGATTTGTGCAAATTGTGCGTATACATAATTTAGCTATTCAAAGATTCTAATTACCAATTAAAGGTTCCTTTACCGAGTCTTCGTCTCCTAACGTTTCACTGCCACCTCAAACACTATGGAGACCTCCACCCCGATGTACGATTAATATGAATTTTCATTTTAACAATGAATTTTACGTCAAGTGGAGGGCATAGCAGGGGGCTACTCTGTAAATCTTCTCTTAGCCAGTAAATTTGTGGCAAAATCAGAGAATCTTCCACTCATAAAGTTAGTCAACGAACTCTCTTTCTACTGTAGATATGTGGACGATACTTTTATCTTGAATAATAATAAAATACATGCCGGGCTTTCTCCAAAAGTTCATTATGGACCACCCGCAAATTGAGTTCACATATGAAAAGGAGAAAAACAATACCTTATCATTTCTTGATGTCCTGCTAACAAGAAGGCAAGATGGCAGTATTAAGAGGGTAAAATAGAAAACTTATTAAATTAGAAGGCATACCCCGAAAAATTCGTTAAACTCTCGATGAGGGGAACAGATGGGAAGAAATGCCTGCAGATTGTGCAGAAGAAACAGATATGCTTGACTTAAAGGAGATGCAGCAACTGAATTACTGACATCAAAACTTCGGAAAATAATAGCTAAAACATTCCTTGCTACAACATTATGTTTGAAATGCCCCACTTATTGTATAATTCCAATGCAGGTGAAGGGTAAGCTGCCGAGTTTGGCCACTTCAATGTGCATTTATAAATTTAACTGTTCATGTAGAGACAGTTACATGGGTAGAACGGCTCGGTGAGCCCACCGTCACCTTCCGGAGCATTGTTCAACGTGGTTAGGTAGAGGAGTCGTAAAGTCAATTAGAAGTTCCATACTGGCACATCTAGTGGATAACGGAGCACAAAATTGACAATAAATCAGCTTTTACAACAGTGTGCTACCTCAACTCCCTAAGTTGGTACGTCTTCGGTTGCTAAGCATAGCTGAGACAGTTACCATAAATATTTTTCAACCTAATCTCTGTGTTCAGAAAATGTTTGTTCAATCTTTCTCCCTCCCTTAGCCTTCTCCCTCAACCTAAAATAGTTATTTCTCTTGATGATACCTGATAATTGTAAGTATTATCTTATTTGATTTTTATCTTATTTGTATTGTTAACTGTATTATCAATATCATGCTGTGATGTAGTTGCACATTTTAATCTCTATTTTACAATTTATCACTACAGTATTATCTAATCGCTATGTGACAGTAGATATTTTCCACTCTACCCCTTCTCGTATGAACACTCTGCTTATACACTTATTGTTAGCTAGATTAGACAAAGACTTGAATGAATTGATCCTTGTTATCATTATGATCAAGTCGAATATTATCCATTAGCTCACATCCCTGAACTCTGATCCTATGTTTTATTAACCACATTAGTTCCAATGCCTATGAACAAAAATTCACTATGTGAATGTAAAGCCTGATCAGAATTTACCGAAAATACTTATTAAACCATGTTCTACTATATGTTATCATTCATTGTTATTACGCCTCATAGTTCCGAAAGGAAAATAAGGTTCCAACATTGCATCTTCATTTCATACTGTTTTTTTACAGCTCCACGGTACTCATAAGCTCTCATCTTCTCCTCACAAGATCTATCACAAACCACCCTAACACCCATAACCAAAATCATTACTTCATCTCCCCTTTCCAGTCACACTCGACGCTCTTACTGCTGCGTGATGTCAATCAACGATCTCCTCAGTGTGTATCCCATCAATCGCCACTTTACTCAGTATATTTGTTGGGCAATACGTTCTTGGTCAGCTCGTTTCCACACATCCTTGTTGCCAATCATTTCGGATCCTCTTATCTTCATTATGAGACCAGAGAAGAAGTCAGCTGCTGTTGCGTGCCTGCAGTCTGTTGGGAGTGCATTCCTTCGGGTGCGTGTCACATCTCTGAACCATAAAGAATGAGTGACTTGACATTAGTGTTGAGAACTCATATTATGTTTCTTATGTTCAGCGAAGTAGATTTCCACACTGAATTCGGATTATGGAAGGTCTGTCTTGCTCTTTCTATCTTGATTGTCTATGGCATCCTTATCTGCCGTCTGTGGTTGAAACGCCGCTTTGTAGATTAGTGAAAGTGACGACTTTTTTCGAATTCCTCTCATTGATGGTGACTGATGCTTCTTGTTGGTCGCGAGGTATCTCCCACACCTCTGCCTTTCATATGTTCACTGGAAGTCTTGTCTTCACTTTCTGATTCTCCTACAAACTTATTAGTTTTCTCCTGAATACCTGACAGTTTGTGTGTCATTAGATATAAACCATCCAAGAAGTGCAGATCTTTTAGAATCTTCTTATCAGTACATTGCCTTTCTGTCTTCTTGATCCCCACGCATGGTCTGCAGCATGGTCCAGCGCCCTACAATCGATATTATTTTGTTCCCAGCTTCAACTGAAAACCATCGCTGGGTTTACAGTTGTGTATCACTTGATATGTGGCACCATCAAATAGTTGTTGACTTAGCCTATGCTAAATATTTATAATATACTTTTGTGTATACTTATGAGTAGCCTCTTGTTTTTCATAGAATTTATAGAATTTATATAAATATAGTATACATTGGAAGATGTCATCTTCAAAACATCAATCATAACGTATTGATTGATTTTAATACATGTTCCAGTTATTTTGGTGAGGCTGTCAGTATGTCTAGAAAGCGCCGCTTTTCTTCCTCCCCTTTTTAATTATGCACAATTTGAAGATTAAAATGCATCCCAGTTCACATGATTCCAAAATAGATGAACTCAGTCAGCTAGATTATAGCAATGGTAACACATAGAATAAAAAGGCTTTTAGTTAAATTGTCCGAGTTTGTTTGATTTTTTTTAAATTATGACTTTTAGAGAAATATGTAGGAGTAATTTGTGCGTTCAGAAAGAAGCAGTTATCAGTCTTTCTTTGCCCTGGTAACTGGATATTTTTCATCCTAATGTGAGATACTGAAAAGTTTTCATTTTGTATGATTATTATTGCTCGGAATTGTGTTCAATATTGCATATATATATGTATATATTATTAGTGTATGTGTATATTGATCGATTGATCTCTGTTTAAAATGAACTCTGTGTAAGTATGTTAAATTGTTACAGATACATTTAATAATGTTTTTGCCCTGTAAGCAGCTGAAGAGAAGGCGACGAAATAAAATATGGTACCATTTTATTCTGCTAAATCTGTAGTTGTTGCTTTGTTTAAATTTTATATTGACAACATCAATGTGGCTTATTGTTTTAAGCTCACAATTTTCAGAGAATCGGTCACTGTTTCGAGTTCCGCTCCCCCACCCCCACCTACTGAATCATCAGTTTCCACACGATCAATGTGGCTGTTGACCTGGAATATGAAATATCTTTTCTGTGTAATTAGGTTTAAACAACTACTCATTATTACTACACCAGAACTCTTATCGAATCGTTAAGTTATCTTCGAGAGACTTTTGAGTACTTCTTCTTGTTCTATTGAAAACAACACTGATTGTGGGGTTAATGATATGGGTTATTAGTTAGTAATGTCAATTTATTTATATCTAAATTGACCATTTATGTCTCAACACACTGGTTTTGGATTTGTCAGGTGAATGCACAGGTCCTTCAGGATCAGTTCTGTAGGTAAATTTTCTTGGAAAATGAAATTTTAACTCAAGTCGCAGTGCCACATATTCGTGTGTGAAAGACAAGATTCCTCTTTAAACCACCTCAGTGTTTATTTATCAGTTTACTTGTTCCTGTGGAACAAAGTATATCGACTGTACACAGCATCAAGTCAGTAAACGTATTTTAAATACTGTCTAGCTTGGCCAGTTAAAGGAGAGGAGATGTACGCCAATAATTCTAATCTTGAACATCTCGTCAAATCTGGACACTGGGCACCTCCGCATGATTACTCGATGGACAGTGCTATATAACTCAATACAGTAATTTTTTCTTCATGTAAATGAATTCCGTTAAGACATTCAGCGAAACGTTCTTATAGTTGGTCTTTTAACAATGTCTTTGAAAGGGTTTCATAAACAGCCTGTGTAGAGTTGATAAATATTTAAAAGTTTAACCATGGATTGATATCAGTTAGAAAACCATTGAAAACAAGGGATCACTGGACTGCTAGTTGTTTCGCCCTAGTTTGGGACTCGTTATCATTACGCAGCCCACCGAGTTTCGAACTCAGAACTTTTTGGTTACAAGGTGATCTCGTAGATCATTTAGTCACTGAGACCCAAGTCAGTGGCTAGCCCACGGATTTTAACTTCTATAAATTCTTGATTTAAGCGCGACTGGCACCAGCCAAAGTCATCCGTGGCGAGTATTTGCCCTCACTTCAAACAAGATGAGCCCAACTGGTCACGACTTCCCACTAGAACTCCAGTAAACTCCATGATGTAGCCATTCACTGGCGAGCGAATCAAATCCCTACAACTCAACTCTTGAAGATGATATTTAAACCACTAAAAGATTTTTCAAAGACATCGGCTTAGTATTGAGATTTTTTATAGCAGAATTGTAAGATTCACTGTGCAACTTCATAATACATCGGAAGTGTTAGACAGAAGCAGCTAGTTTACACGAACTGGGAGAAATCACATAAATTAGCCAGGAAACTCGGGTTACTCTAATCATTCTTCAAAAATAGTAATTCCTCTAGAAATCCTCCAGTGTACTAAAACCAATTGATTCATTGACTTGAATAATCGACGAGGAAGGTGTTTCTTTTGCGATTTCATACACAAATTCATTCATGAAAAATCCCCACTCAAACATTTACAGAGAGAAGACCAGGATTTCAGCGAAGAGTCTCTTTTCGGCGAATTCATTTCCACACCTGTACAATCACAAATATATATATGGTTTTCCTGGATATGTGTGTACATTAAATTTGTCAAACAAAAATAAAATTGATACGTTTTCGGTGGAGTTACGTGATACAAAAAGCGTTCAGAGGAATTAGATGTTGATATAAGAGGAACCAGAACTATTCATACAGAAGAAAATTATTCAGCCACTTCTACTATCATAGTAACAACTCTGGTGATTTGATTTAACTTTTGCCTGTTTGCTTGTTTTTTCTAACTCCTTTAAAACTCTTGTATTTCTTCAAAACTCCTACGATAATCCGTATTTTATTTTGTTTTTATGTTCACCCTGAGCACAACTCTTTCATCAAACTATTCATAGTATCAAGTAACTCTCCTTTCACAATCGTATGTGATAACCCATCACTTTTGCTACTGCCCTCTTACATCAACAATCAACTCCTCTGAACACCTTTTGTATTACGTAACTTCCCGAAAACTTACTAATTGTATTTTCGTTTGACAAATTTAATGTAAACACATATCCAGGAAAACCATATATATGTTTGTGATTGTACAGGTGTTGAAATGAATTCGCCGAAAAGAGACTCTCTGCTGAACTCCTGGTCTTCTCTCTGTGAATGTTTGAATGGGGATCTTTCATGAATTGAAAAGTAGGAAGGACCTCTCCACAGTCAAGTAACTCAGTAGATATCTACGCTACTCTGTCAAACTTGTGGTAGCGAATGGGAAAGTAACTTTTATCAATTATTGTATCACAAATTCAATCAACAAGTTGGATGCATGTAAATCAGGTCTGATTAGGTGTGTGTGTCTGTGTGTCACATCTCTGTTGAAACTATCTCCTAAAATCAGTGAATCGTAGATATTTATTTCACTTATATGATCCTAGTGGAATGAGTAAGTCGACATTTGTAAAAAATTATATTTGTAAAATCTCAGCGAGATTGAAATGTGTAATTCCAACGTTTCGTTCGAAAATCTGGTCCGAACTTCTTCAGGGAAATTAATCGAAATTACCATAACAGAGGTTTATATATAAAAGGAACATCACTTGTTTTTCAAAAACTTTCTCCAACCATGAATCATTCAACAAGTATAATAAACAAAAGTTTATGAGCTGTGATCAAAATTTGACCTCGGACTTACAAATATTGGTCTACCTTTGTTAAACACTTTAAACTGAGTGTGTATGTGTGTGTGTGGGTAAACAGTTGTAAAACATTTCTTAACGTCTCCATAAGAAGATATGAACAGTCTAGAATTTTGACCAAGTATTAATAATTAGTGATACATATCCATTTTTTAATTATTAATAAGGATTTCCTATGCATCAGCTAACATCAAGCCTTCATGTCTGTTCAAACTGTTAGTATCTAGAATTTTATGATTAGACGTGTTTTCAAAATAATGGTGTTTAGGTAGACCAATATTTGTGAGTCCGAGGTCAAATTTTGATCACAGCTCATAAACTTTTGTTTATTATACTTGTTGAATGATTCATGGTTGGAGAAAGTTTTTGAAAAACAAGTGATGTTCCTTTTATATATAAACCTCTGTTATGGTAATTTCGATTAATTTCCCTGAAGAAGTTCGGACCAGATTGCCGAACGAAACGTTGGAATTACTCATTTCAATCTCGCTGAGACTTTACAAATATAATTTTTAACAAATGTCTACTTCTCACTCGGCGCCCAAATATTTTAGAACTATTCTGTCAAATCTTGACGACAGTTCATTTCAAAGAGTAAGTCGTTACTTCCACCTTGTACGAAATTGTACTTATATAACTGTGAATAGCCTGAAGAGAAGAACAGATCACAATGATTGCTTGCTGTGTGTCTGCGTTGAGAACATTGTCCATAAGAAAATTACGACTCAACTGGCCTAGTCTCATAAAAGAGGAAATGTTAGATATTTTGTGTATACTCGATGGTTATCAAACATTGAAAACATAACTCACAGATGTTGAAATATCAGGTTGAGCACCATGTTCCAGAAGAATTCGAACACACTCTTTCTGGTTATTTTCACAGGCTAAATGTAATGGAGTGGTTTCAAATATATCCTAGAGAAATATGTTTTGTTTAAAAAATAAAATGAAACCATCAAAACTTTCTGATACATAAATATGTATAAAGCACAAAATAATTGAGCAAAGAATATCCTTTTCGATAAATTCCTCTTCTGGCTCTACAATTATATATAAATATGTTTATATACATAGATGATTCTAGAATAGTAGTCAATAACAATATTAGTGTTTTTAAATATTATCGATTGGTAAAGTAAGATTAATGGAATTACAGTTCACTAAAGATGATTAAATTATAATAATAAAGACATAATAGCAAATAGAATATCAACTAAAATTAAGGAAATTTCCACAAAAATTGAGGATCATTCAAACCTAGATGGCCAAGGTAAGGACAGCGTCTGAACTAGCTTCTTTTGGATGCACAAATTAGGATTGTTAATATGAATCTCAACAGCATCAGCAGTATTTAGTAGTCGAACTGTTAAGGCAAAATTGAGATTCTTTGGTATGCGGTAAATGACCCTGAAAGCATGGTTAACGTCAATCCTGTGTTCTGTATCCACAAGATGAGATAGAATACCGCTGCAAATAGATTTTGTTTGTCCTTTAATTAACCAACCACGCACAGTGATGTTCGTAAATCCGATGAGAAACACGCCTAATTGTACGGCCTATGTAATTGGCTGCTAGTGTGTTTCGATGAAATTTCGTTTGGTCCTGCTGTCTTACCGGATTTCAGTCTTTTGACTGCATTCAAGATTCCTGTTTTAGGTGGAGGATTGGTGTCCACTGGAAGTTTAAATGCGTGCTGTTGGTGGTATTTCTAGGCGTCTTGCAAGTGATGGTCAATTCAAGAGTGCTTTGAAGTGATCAGCCCATTGTTTGATTTGTCTCTCCCCCTTGGTAATGAGACTCCCTTCAACATCTTTCATTGGTTTCATCATCTGGGTTGATCTTTCCCGGATAGCGAGCAGCCTGGTTATTTAATATAATGTTCTGAGGTCTCTTCTATCTGTGGTCTGCCTGTTCTGCTTCACTTGCCAATGTGTCGTAGAACTGTCTTTTGTCTTTCCTAACACTCTTCTTCATGTCTTTCTTCATTCAGTACAGTGAACACTATAACCAGCTTCTACCTCTTTTGACCATCTTTGCATTGAGTCATCTTCTCTTTCACCACCCCTTCTCTTCCATTAGCATCCAGGTGTTTGTTGAGAGCCATTCCTTGTCGTGTCTTTTATGTCTTTCTAGAATGGTCGTACACGTTTCCTTGAACATCACATGCAGACAGTTAGTCCCAGTGTTCTTCCATCTACACTTTCTGCTCCCACTTTGGCTGCCACTGGTGACATCATTAAAGCCACTCCCCTCAATGTTTTCATGGTTTTCATCTAGGTGGCTGGATTAGATTAATGACTCTCCAGTTGACAATTTGGATAATCCACATCCATTCCATCTACTTTCGCAGATATCCACCATTCATTTGCCATTTTTTCGCATTTTTTGGTTACCTGAGAAGTTTTTTGAGTCTCGTACATTGTGCGGACGTTCCACATTCCCATTCTTATTCTTGCTTTCATCGAGATAAGACACATTGGGTGGCTGGCTGGCTTCCTGAAGGCTTTCACCAACCCGGGTTCATTTCGCCTCTCCAATTCTAGCGAATTTTTTGTATTTTTAATATATTTTTGTGCGTTGAAGTTTCTGTAGCAGTTTGATGGGGTTTCTCGGTTAGCGTCGCTTGGGACTGGCCAGAAAACTAGCAAGCTAGTCAACTAGGTGAGGCTGTGTAAATTGATATATAGATATAATTTACTACATGCACTATTATATGTCTATTTCTATTTCCCTCAGCCCACTATGACCTTGAAATCCTATTGGAGGGTGACTGCTTTTAAATTATCAATGTATTTAGTATCTCTCAAGGTCATCGAAAGCAAATATACATACGAAAGCGCTGTCAATCATTTTCACTATTGATACGAGACAGTGAAAGCTAACCACATCAACGGTCTGTCTTCTCTTCTTGTTGTCTTGCGTCGCGGTTTCGGTGGTATCGTACCGTGTTAATGTTGTCATTGTTGTTGCTAATAATTGTTAGAACAGTAGGCTCGCGGATCGGCAAGGTGGGAAATTCGTTAGCACAACTACCAAGTATATTAACGGTCATATGATTAATTCCCATTGTACAATATTTACTCAATGTTCATAATCATCTTCAAGTTAACTAGTAATCGGCAACATATTGCTTAGCACAATATTGTTCATTCTAAAGTGAACTTTGATGTAAAAGAATATGAATTTTTAAGAATAATTTTCAAGTATTCGTTTTGTATGGATTTTTGTTTGATTGGATGGAAGATTTCATCAAGAGCTGACATCAGGTAGTGAACTATTAGAAAACCTACAGGGAGTACTGGACAGCTAGCTGTTTCATCGGCCCAGTTCAAAACTCTTCAGCAGCACACTGAAGAGACTGGGGTTCGAATCCGGAACCTTCTGGTTACAAGGCAAGCTCGTAGACCATTGAGCCACTGGGACCCGATCTTAGGGTTCTAGTGGGAGGCCACCAGGGTACAGCAGGTTGAAGGTGAGGCAATAACTCATCGAAGAAGACATTGTGAAGTGGTCGTGCTATGTCGTGAGTTTCAAGAAGTTAGAATTCATGGACTGGCCATTAGATCGGGTCGCAGTGGCGTAATGGCCTACGAGCTAGCTCACGTTGTAACCAAAAGGCCCTGAGTTTGAACCCCTGGGGTGAGTGCACACTGCTGGAGAGTCCCGAACTAGGCTGACAAAACAGCTGGCTGGCCAGTACTTTCAAGTTTTCCTTTGGTTCTCTAACTGATGTCAGCTCATGATGAAATCCTCCATCTTTTCAAGAATATACACACAGGAAGTAATTGAATGATCGAATAAATATGAAATAGTAGAAGAAGTTTGATGCATTGTATTAAACGGATAATTAGATAAGTTCAATGAATTATTGAGGCAAACCATTCATCTTATAAATATAAATATATATAAAAATCCTACCATTTCATCGATTTTTTCTCTGAGTTTCTTCAAAGACAGTAAACATTCCAAAGTTTCAATGTGACCATTTTTAGAAGCTAAATGAAGTGCATTCCTCGCATGCTGAAAAACACATATAACATGGAATCTACAATCAGTCTAGTGTCTTCATCACAAGATAAAGGTTATAATCAGCTGATTACTCCATTCTCTGATCGGTGGATTTCAATTTGTTGACATCAGTGTTAGCTGTAAGTCTGTGGTGCAGTGGTAGAATGTTTACCAGTCATACAGGTAGCCACGAGTTTGACTCCCGGCCGATTCATTTATAAACTTCGTCGATTTTATCAGGGAATAGTTATCCCAGAAAAGACAAAGGGTTGGGCATGAGCCTAACAGGATAATAAAACACCATTTCTACTGAGACTTCAAAACTTGAAGCCATCGGATGCCCCACTAAGAATGCAAACAACTGGAAGAATACGTGGGCAATTAGCTAAGTAATATCTTTATCCACTTCAGTAAATGACAACCAGTCGAAGTTTAGGTCGATGATAAGATAGTTACCATGGAGAAACTGTGTTTAATACTGGTAATGATTAGTGCTCAGGATTTATGGAGCAGATCTGAAACCAATAATAGTGCCTAAAAGTTAACTTTAACTCATACCTTTTAGCTGTAATCCAAAATCCTTCCTTTAAATATCCTACTTGTGTATTACCCACTTTGTCCGGGCTTACTGCCAACGCCATCAACATCGGAAATGCAGGGTAGATTGTGCAGCTACTTATATTATAAATATGTGTCATGATGTGAGCAGCTCCAGCGACTGGTACAGCTCTACAACAACCCAGTGAAACGCTGCTTTTCATGTCCCGGAACAATCTAGGAGCTTCCCTGGCACGGTTCCTCGTGCACTAGAGATGGCCTATCTTGCCTCATAGAAACGGGACCCCATCTGTCAATCTTTTTGTACTGCAAAAATCCCTGCTTGTGACTGACAGTCATGCCGGATGGCCTTCCAGCAATCCATGATAGGGTTACCAAGCCATTCACGGCCATCCGCTAACTGTGAGTCACAAGTTACAATGGTCCCAGCCCTCTCGCCCAAAGTTCCGAAGATCTCAGATCACCCGATTCCTCGTACACCCCATAAATCTAAAGGATTTCCTGGCCTGTCCGCTCTAGCTGAGTAGCTGGATGCGAATGATGTTTATGCTTGCTACAGATCTTAGCTCGGGAGCGGCTTCAAGGTTTCCCTCCCCAATGGTCGCCAAGTGGAGGCTTCTGTCGTGCGAAATTCATCTTTTGGTTTCGGCCATTACTCATATCCAAGTGAGCTTTTTCACGTTGGTAATCAGGGCACCGGACGGAATGTTGTCACCCCAGCGAAATGACAATGTAGCCAAATCGTGGCAATTGGTTTACATAGGGACGCCAATATTAGAAAAGTACACAATGGTCACAGAGCGTCACATCTACCACCGCATACGGAACATTCCTGGATTTGACGATGGGTTACTTTAATAAAGTCATAGTTACTTCTGCAGTACGAAATGTAATTATTCTAATTTTTTGTTTAGTTCCAGACCCTAACTCTAGCTCACTGCCTTAATCAGTAATCCTCTGGGTGATGGATGCATTGTTCGAGAATATAAACACGAGTGTTTCAGTTCAAAGTCATACTTCAACAAAGCATATCGGATAACAAAAACCAGAAACGGAAACTTCACACTTGAGATAGACAGAAGGAGAGAAGACGAGTGAAGTTTTTTCATACAATCTCAGACAGAATTTAAAGAGGAAATAGCTGAGCATCTAATAGTCAATCTCTGGATATATCACGAAAATTCAGCAACCATTATCCCAAGAACTATACTCCCAGGCTATCTAAACCACTCTGCTTTCTTGACTTCGAAAAACACGGAAAGGAGATTACTTCTTTCATTTATGTAGGCAGGAACTTTTCAACTGCAGGCGGCTCAGATGTGGATGATAAATTCTGCTTGGATCAGGGAAGCAAGAGAGATCTTTGCTTCTGTGAAATAGGTCTGAAAATCTTCTACACTCAGCACAAGAAAAAACTACCAAATTTTCAACGGCAGTTTTAGGTCAGACAGTGCTTCTCTTTGACTCATTACTTGTCATAATGAGCATTTTCATCAAGATACTGCAGACTTTCATCAACAGCTACTTACTCCTTACTCTCGATACTGGAGATCAGGAGGTCGACCAGAAAAGGATAAGAAATAAGGAAGTGAGGCAACGAATCAACTTGGAACGTATTTCCCAACGAATATGTAGATGGAAGTGGAGATAGATCGGATGTACTCTAAGGGGATTGTTGCGTGCCAGGCAGACCTTCCAGGGGAACCTGGGTGGGTAGCCACAAATAGGGTGTGGGGCACAAGCTGACATGGAGGAGATCGTGGCAGGAGTACATGAAAGCTTACGGGGGACTGTGTGTAGACGGCTAAAAAAGTCAGCAGAGATCAGAAGGTAATGGATACGTGCTATTGAAGTCATATTTTCCATACGAAACCCAATAGAATAACGAGAATATCACTATAATTGATGTTGAGACTTTCTGATGTAGTCTTGAGTTAGCAGACAGATAATGGATGGTGACTGAAGATGAAATAAAGTTTGATTTAACGACTGAACTCAAACCTCCGGATTAGTATCCCCAAGATCTACCAGGTGAGTAACAAAACTCAGCCGCCGAACAGGTGTATTTGTAATTGTCATTTCATAATCCTTAACTGTTTTAAAACTCATTGTAATGTCGTCAGGGAAGGCAATGGCTCTGGTATAAGTAACATGTCTCGTCGCCGTCTAAGTCGACTCATCTTCACGGCTTCATTGATAGACTTTTCCTCCTTACCTAACACTATGTGCCTAACATCAGTACCACTGACACTAATACTCCTCTCAACACACTAGTCTGATCATCTCATGAGTGAAATCCTTCTTCAGTAGCAGACCATCCTCATATTATTCACTTTTGGGCCTACTCATCTTTCCCTAACTTCATCCTTCCTAAGAAAAATTATACAGCTTTATTGTGAATACATAATTGACTGATTCAGAGAAGAAAAGGTATCCATTTTGTAGACTCACCATATTCTTTTTCAGTATGTTACATTTTCGTTTAATAAGTATCTCAATCAGACGTAAATTTCCTTTTGATGCAGCAATTAGGAATGGAGTCATTCCATTCTGAAGAAAAAGAGTAAAAAATGAAGAAAGATACTAAAAGGATGGTTCATTGTAATGTGAGGAGTAATTCGGGTTTTATTTAAATGTTTATTGAGATTTCTAATCATGTCGAATGATGGAAAAGTGTTCAGATCAAAAGCTTACCTTTCTAAATTGAATTTCTTACAGTTCAGTACATAAGCACTACTAAAAAAGCTTCGTTAGTGTCTTGTTCAACTTCTTGAACATTCCTATAGTAGAAGTTCATTTGTGACAAAAGCAAACGAAGAACAATTAAACGACATGCAATTAGTATTACAGCCTTTCTGTTCTAGTTTTAGGACTATCGAGTATCTTGCATTAAACGCTTTACATGGAATAAAGTATAGGAACGTTAACATACAAAAGAGCCGTTCATGATTAGCTTTCAGGTCAATCAAGTCCCTGCTTGCCGACACTTGAAAATTAGTCTTGTGCTTACTATGACTGATTGCAGGATGAAATTAACTTGTGTACTGGTAGGAAATCGTGAACAGTGGTATCCAGCGAGTTGGGTTTGAGGAAAAAGACTTATCGATGACATTGGCTGACAGCTGAGCCATATATCTTGGACTGGAATGGATCTACTACCCACCGGATTCCATCCCAGTGGCTCATCGGTAAACTAGCTCACGTTTGTCTCCTGAACGATGACAGTTCGACTCTTAATGAAGTCATGAGTATGTACTCCTGAATAGTCTCAAAATAGGACAAAGCAGCTGTCAAGCACTGTCTGATGGTTTTCAATAGTTTTTTGATTGTCATCATTTCGTAAACAATCTTGAATGCAAATATTAAATTAAAGGCTAGATGACCCAAAAATTTAACATAACTCAAATAGCGACACAGCCTAACCATGACTCAGTGTTATCTATGGATATTTTCCTTCATTCTAAATTTCTGTAAGCTTCACAGATTACAAATTCCTGTTAAACATTTTGCGGACTTTCAATTTTGAATAGATTTATGATCGGAGTCAGTAAATGACAAGCTAATCTAATTGAAATAAAGTCAGATAAAACACCGCATGATGTAATAAGGAAACAGGATTGATTCTTTCACTGATTCAATGATTCTTTGAGAACCAAATGGGAATCCTATATTATAAATATTATTGTTCCCTTTGGTCCCGAGTGGAAAATAGGGCCACAGCAGCACACCTCTACTTTGGCCTGTTATCTGTGGTCCTCTTCATCTGGGCTCACGACTGCTCATAATCTCTCATCTCCTCCCCACATGATCATCTCTGCGGCATCCTAGACCCATAACCAACTTGTCGTTTCCACAGTCTTCCTGTCGCGCGATGTCATTCGACGGTCTCCTCAACGTGTGTCCAAACCGTCACCATTTTCTTCGACACATTTGTCGGGTATTAGGTCCTCCATTGGCTCGTTGACAGAGATCCTTGTCGCGTATTCTTCCTCCACTATCATCGAGAGAAGACGGCTGTTGATAAAAGTCTGCAGTCTGTTGAAAATCCGAATTTTATCCTCTACACTGAATGCAGGAGACTTCCATAGTGATTTCAGAGTGATGAGTATCTGTCTTGCCTTAAAGATGCTGCCTGGCTTTGACATTCTCAATGGTGTTGACTGTCTGTATTTGAGGTGATGCCTTCTAGATAAGTGGAGGAAGTGACCTCTGTCCAATTTCTCCCGTTGATGGTGAGTGGCGTTGCTTGTTGTTGCTGTTGATCGGTTATCTTCATCACCTCCATCGTCTCTATGTTCACCCGGAGCGCTGCCTTCGCTGTCTGCCTCCTCCACCAGTTTTTTAGTTTACGCCTGTAAGTCTTCAAGTATATGTGTGACATTAGATATAAATCATTGGAGAAATGCAGATCTTCCAAAGTCTTCTTACTGGTCAGTGCAGCGTATTCCTATCTTCTCGTTCCCAACAATCTGATGCATAATCCAGTCCACCAAAATTAGAAATATCATTGGTGATAGCAGGCAACCTTGTCTTACGCTCACATTTACCTCAAAGTCTTCGGTGAGTTCTTCGTTGTGGATCATCTGACATGTGGTATTGTCATATAGACAGCTGGCGAATGAGTTTGATAAAGATTGAAGCGCACTGCACGCCGTAGAGTTCAGGCAGTTCCCAAATAACTTCTCTGTCACTGCTGTCATAGACCTTTCGAAGTCAATGAAATTGTGGGTTAAGTTTGACTGCTATTCTATGCTGTATTCGATGATGATGCGTAGAGCCAAAATTCATTCAGCACGTGATTTGTGTTATTCTGGTTGGACTTCTGCATCCAGTGCGGCTCAGTACTTTACTTGGTGTAGTCTGGGGTATTATTCCTCACCAGTTCTTGTAGAGTCTGAAGTAGCTCTTCCTTAGTAGTTTGACAAAATACCTTTCCTTTCTTCCGAAATTTTGCAGCAGTAAATCAGAACACTACAACAGTGTTGTAACAAGCCTTATAAAACGGCGTCATTTATAAAGGTATTTGGATGAAATTCGAACTAAGCTAAACTGAAATCTCTCATATAATATGTCATATATATATATATATATGCAATCTGCTGAATATACATAGACAGAGTGCTCCATTAAGATTCGTATTGCCAATCACTTTCTTTTCTTTACATTCCGTGGAACATGCGATGATATTGGTTTTACGGGCGGAGTGGTGGGTTGCTACCCTCACACTCCACACCCTTCTACCTTTTCCGGACTCAGACTCGACTTTTCTTGGCAACAAAGGGCATATTGTCCGATGAACTTAGCTGTGAGATAGGCTCTGGCTAGTAACGTACTCAATCTTCTGTTGATTTTTGCTCCAATATTTTCACCTTTAAAATCGAGTTGAAAGAAGACAGTCTTCTTGCCACTGTGATTTCTTTGACATTTGAGCTTTTACATCTGTCATATTAGCTCATTTCTCTGTAGTGAATATTCTCCTAGCTCTATAGTACAGAGTCCTGACTAGTATTGGTTCATAGCTATTTAGGCAAAAACTATTAAAATCTAGGTACTGTCCATTCCATGTCAGCTTTCTGTAAATTGACCTCTGGAGATTTCCATTTTCCAGGCATTGCATGGCAATGTCGAGGAAGTGGAACTTTCCATCATTTTTGTGCTTCATAGTAAATTCAGTATTTGTATATACGTCATTGAGTAATCCGAGTAGGTAGGAAGCATGACTTTCATTGTTGCACACTACAAATGTGTCATCTGTGACATATCAGCAATAAGAAGTTGTTTCGTCGATTGGCTGTTTTAATTTCCTTTTCTCAATGTTGGACATGAAGATATCTGCTAAAAGAGGGCTAAGTAGACTGCTCATAGCTACACCATCTATTTGGCGGTAAAGAGTGATGTCAAATTGAAATTACATATTCATGGTACACATTAGCAATAGGCCTTTGAATCCCGGTTCTGGAAATAAGAGATCAGAATGCTGACAAATGACCTCCATAGTTGCCTTGATTGAGATCCTTGTGAACAAGCAAATTACTTGAAATGACGCTATGAACTTATATGAGACGTTCATGTGGTTCATCTTTCACGTCTTTACTCTCTCTTTCACTTGATTACGTATTCTTTGGCTTTAACCTCATCCCCTTCCTTTGATATAGTGTAATTTTGCTTGTCTCTTGTTTTTATCATTTGAGTTGAATTCAGTACATGGTTACCCAATTTATAAGTTAGTTATCATCTTACTTGCCTCTAGTCTCCATTACGTAACTCCTTTACTGTTGTATGCAAACACTGATTTTGTTTACACTTGAACTGCCTGTATGAAAACTATATAAGTGTAATTTTCTGAGTACTGTTCATTAAGTTTGGAACCACCTGTCAATTGACACCATGTAAAGTAAATCAATAAAAGAAGGATAGGTGCGTAAAACGTGGCACTGTGGTAGTATGTAATTCAATATTAATTTATTCATTAGATATATCACACAGTGAAACAGCATTATTATTTACTGGATGACACTGTTTCGAACAATTTATTGTTCATAATCACAGCATTAATTATATTTATAGATAGATATTGATGACGAAAGCTTTATTTATCGAATCAACTGACACGGAATAAGTGTGATAGGAATGATTCAACACCTGTCCACCCAGACATCTGGAAAATTCTACTACCCCTACTAAAATGAACAGGAAAGAATAAAGAAAACTATAAAACGAAAGTTTTGAAGTAGTGTGGTTATAATTGATGTTATGATTATGAACAACAAAAAATTGTGTTCTAGACTTTGTCATCCAGTAAATAATACAGTTTCACTCACTCTGTGATAGATCTATCTAATAAACAAATTAATGTAGAATAAAAGAAGAAACTCGACGAAATAAATAAAAAAATAAATAGATTGACTGATTATTTCACTTACATTGTCTGACAGGTCATAATCTAAGACTTGAAATTTTTTGTATAAACATTTTAAAATTGAGATTGCATTGGATTCAGCTATGAAATGCATGATTGTAAAACCTTGCTGTTGATCATTATTGTTATGTTGATGTTTTGCATTTGAAGAAAACATAGAAAAGAAAAAAAAGGAAAAGGAAAATTGATGATTACATTATAGAAATTCAATGAAAAATAACTAAACACTATTCTTCAATACAGCTATGTTCCTTTGTCATCTGTAGAAAGTATACTTTCAATTGTTGGTTTTGTGGGGACTTTGTTTGATTGGTTGGAAGATTTCATCATGAGCTGACATCAGTTAGAGAACTATTGGAAAACCAGCTGGGAGTACTGGACAGCCGGCTATTTCGACCTAGTCTCTTGGGGCTCCTCATCAGTGCGCACCCACAGGGGTTCGAAACCAGGACCTTCTGGTTACAAGGCGAGCTCGTAGACCATTAAGCCACTAGGCCACTTTGTAGGGTCCTATTGTCCTGTGTGTGTACTGTGAAGAGACCCAAGATACTCGGACGAAATAGCTGTACACTACTCCCAGAATGGTTTTCAATGGTTCTCTAACCGATGTTAGCTCATGGAGAAATCCTCCAACCAATCAAAATATATTTTTAAAATCTCAGCGAAGTTTAATTGAATAATTCAGACATTTCTTTCTACAGACTCGTCCGAAAATTCATCGAAATTAACACTACAGAGGTTTATACATATATATAAAAGGACATCTCTTGTCTTTAAAAACTTTGTCCATTCATATGAGTTATGAAGCAGTCGTCAAATATGATAATAAACAAAATTGCATGAACTGTGATCAAGATTTGACTTAAGTTTGCTTTTGTCAAACACTGTAAACATTGTATCAGATTTTTAGTGATTACGTTCGACTGAAGTTCATGGTCGTAAATAACTGGATATAAAAATTTGTATGTGTATATGCGGTATACAATTGTGTGTGTGTGCATGAGAGTATGAGGAGACAACTGTAAATCATTTGTTAGCTTCTCCATAAGAAGATATAGACAAGTAGAAATTTAGACCAAGTATGATTGATTAGTGAAACATATCCACTTTTATTTATTAATCAAAACTTACCATGCGTCAGCCAACAAAATCACACCTTCCCCTCCGTTTAAGCTTTTGGATGCACCCATATAAGTGGGGCTTCTGCAGTCAGTCTTCCTTCATACGAACCGAAACTTGTTTGTAGAACCTCGGTCCTATGAAGTTCAGTCTTGTGTCCCGTTTCTATTGAGTGCAGTGCAGCATCGCTGATCTGTTTTCTAGCCAGCTTCTTCAAGACTGCAGAGGTCTTTGGAAGCACATTAGACATTATTTATGCTCTTTCACTCACATTTATCTATCTGGAAGTTCCTGCTACATATACGGTGTCACAGTCCCCACAAGTGATTTGGTGGACACAATTCTGTTGGTTGTCTTCTCCTAATTTATCCTTAACCTTCACCAGTGATGAGGAGCGCAAGGTGTCTGTTGCACGAAAATACACTCTTTTGTCATCATGATTGTTAAGGATCTGCTTTTTCTCAGTTCATGCAATTTTGTTTATTATTATATTTTGATGACTGTTTCATGACTCAGATGATTGGACAAAGTTTTTAAAGAAAAGAGGTGTTTTTACACATATAAACCTTTTTAATTCTAACTGGTGGATGGTGACTAGCATGGGAATCCAGGATAAGAATTTCGTCGTATTTGGGACTCGTCATCTGAATGTATCTGCGTTCCGCAGTGAGTGATGATGCTCTCACCGAGGCTCAAACCCAGTGCCCATAGTTTCAAACGCCAAAGCGTTATCCACTAGACCACTTGGGCCATGAGAGCCACCCCTTGTGCAACGGGCCGACATGTCAACCTGAGACTAAGCAGTTTGGTCCCATCAGTCGAAGGTAAAATCTAAAACTCACTTAAATTTGTTATTCTAATTTCCAATTATTCCCTGAAGCAGTTCGAACCAGTTTGCCGAACTCCGGAAACTTAAGAATTACTCATTTCAGTTTCGCTTAGATTTTACATATATAATTTTTATATATGTTTGCTTGTCACTCAACGCCCAACTATTCGGGAATTATTCGGTCAAAACTTGATCACAGTTCAGATGATTTTGTTCCCCTGTGTTATAAAACAATCGAGTAAAGATTCTCAGCTATCGAATCAGAATTAGAAAAAAATAGGTACCCTGAAAAGTTCATGATGAAACAAATAGCCACATAGGTTGAAAGAAGCGGTTCTTAAGGAGTTTAAATCTATATGCGATTTTTAATCAAAGGTGATGTGCATAGGGAAATCATAGATAACACCTTGAGAAGATTGTTTCTGAGGTCTTCTAGAACCGGTAAGCTACAAATCACCCAATGCTTTTACACGACTTGTTGTGATTCTGAAACTAAGAGTCAAATTACTTAGGCTAGCCATGTGTGTCTGTAACTGTTAGACTAACTGCTCCTATGAAGCCATTGCTTTTCCATCATCTACAGAATACTGAATAAATTCCTAAAAATCAGTATTCTCAATATGATCCTTCACTACGTGTATAGAAAAAGTTTATTAAGTCTCTTATTCTACCATGGTCTTAATCTCCTTCCCGATCCTAATTATTATGGTTATTTTTATTCCCTTGAGTTCACAGGGGAATATAGTGCTTCAGCAACACATCTCCAACTTATTGTATTTTCTGATCATTTCTTCAGCCGCGCCCACAACCGCCCGTCATCTCTTACCCCATCCTCGCCACTCCATCTACTCCATGTTACCCTCAAAGTGACGGCCCACTAGTCGCTTCCCATTTCCATCCCACTTGAGTGATGGCCTGCATTGTGCGCAATGCCATTCGATGGCCTCCTCAATGTATGCTTAATCCATCTATACATTTTCTCCTACATATTTGTTGAAAAATGGTCTCTCCTGTTAGCTGGTTTTTTGACAGAGTTTCTTGTTGCTGAGTTTTTGTAGGCGGCCGGCCAGTTGATCAGTGGAGCCAGAGAAGTGGGCAGCTGTTGATAAAGTTCTGCACTAGCTTATAGGATATGCTTCTCGTGACACGCTGAAGTTTCTGACTCATATAGAAGAACTGACTGACTGACTTGACATTTGTGCTGAAATTCCTAATCTTGTTATTTACTTTGAGTCAGTGCAGAATATTTCTAAACTGATTTCACAGTGATGAACGTCTGTCTTGTCTCTCTGATTCTCGGTGGCTGGCTTTGATAACTTTATCCGTTCTGACAGCTGTGGTTGGAGTGATGCTTCCTAGATAAGGTAACCTCTGTTAAATCTCCTTCGTTGATGGTGATTGGTGCTGTTTGTTGGTGTTGGTTGGTTGGTTGGTTATCTTCATCTCTGATCCCAATTAATTCACAATTATCTCAAATACATGTTTCTTGTATGCATTTCACTATGTTTCTTTTCCTCACCTACTTCACACCTGTCAAGTGGACACTCAACTGTCTTGCTTCTCACCTTATTAAATTTGAAACACTTCCGCACATTATAAGAATCCAGGCCACAGATAAATGTTGACGTTTACGTAATATTTAATTTTAGAGACCAATTCTGATTAGCTGTACCCGTTATGTCCACCCTATCTTATATTACTCAGGAATAGACTACTACACGTTTTAGGTAAATCTAAATATGATTGTACAACCTCTAAAAATCATTTTAGTCGACAAAGTAAATTTCCATCACTGAGTTATCTTTTATTTTCTTTTTAACTTAATGGATATTTTCGCTCTTTTGAAAGCTGGAAATGCACAATGCAGACCGTAGCATAGAAGAAAGGGCGCAGAAACATTAAGTTTAAATTTACTTTCAAAGTATGCATTTGTATTATTGCCAAAATATAAACAACATTTTCAAGTATTGGTTGCTCACTAGCGACTTGTCCTATTCAGGCAGTTAACCTGGGGTTCTAGTAGGAAGCTGTGACCAGTAGAATACAGCAGGTTGAAGATGAGGCAGTAGCCCATCGAAGAAGACATTGCGAAGTGGTCGCCCTATATCGTGAACTGGCCATTGGATCAGGTCCCAGTGGCTAATAAATGGTCTACGAGGTGGCTAGCCTTGTAACCAGAAGATTCTGGGTTCGAACTCCTGCAATGGGTACGTACTGATGAAGAGACACAAGAGATTGGGACGAAACAACTGGCTGTGCACTAGTGTCTGGTGGTTTTCCAATGGTTCTCTATCTGATGTCAGCTCATAATGAAATCCTCCAACCAATGAACAACATTTAACAGAGTCATAGCTGACTGTCTGTTTGAATTGGATTACGAATAAAAATAGGTAGTCTGACTGGTAACCAGTAATGTTGATTGATTATTTTTGAATGTGAATTACGGATTGAAATCTAATTGGACAATTTTCTGACTTATTCAACCAGTGGTAGACTCCTCGTTAACCACACTTAATATGGTCGAAGGTCACATTTCCGGCTAGCGCACTTAGAAACCTCCCCTGGACAATAGTAGGCACATTAAAGACAGAAAGTTGGGCATCAGGCTAGTAAATCCACCCTGAAGAAAAAATAAACACTACTGCTAGTGAAACTGTAAAGAGAAGGTGTGAAGCCCTATTGTCCACTCAGAATACAAAGGAATAATAATCAAATCAATTAGGTAGTCATTTTTCTACGATTATTTAAGTTTAATTCCTCTAATTACTAATGTGACATTAAATTCTCAGCTGCGCATTTAAAATGACGCCTTTCTGGTATATTCTACAGCTGAGCGAAGTATGAGGTGCTTGTGGAAGCGGGCAACACTTGTGCCTGATATATGGAACTAATTTTCCTAAAATACTACATGTATATTTACATTGGAATCCTATCGGAGGTTGACTGTTTTAAGTTACCAGTGTTATTAGTGTCTCTCAAGGTCATCTAAAGCATATATTTATATATGCAAGCGCTGTCAATCGTTTTCGCTGTTGATATGAGACAGTAGAAGCTCTCCATGTCAACAGTCTGTCTTCTCTTCTTGTTGTCTTGCTTCGTGCTTTCAGTGGTGTCGTCGCGTGTTGTTGTTGCCAATAGTGGTTAGAACAGTAGGCTCGCAAATGGACAAGGTATGAAATTCGTCAGAGCAACTACCAAGTGTGTTAATGGTCATATCAGTGCCTTATTTGATGATTACTCTATCAGATTACTTAACAAGAGTGTTTCCTTTTTGAAACATTTAAATAAATATGTTTCAGATACTGTATACTTGATTATCGATTGCCTCACTAAAATAAAACTGACAATTGAACTGAGAAATTTCTTGGAATTGCTTGCATTTCCATGATTTTGCTATTTTAGCTTATATAATATTTGGACTATGATTAGCTATCACCAAACTGACATCAGTTAGAGGAGGACCACTAAAAATCAGAGAGTACTGGACAGCCGTTTAGTTATGGTTCTAGCCTCCCTAACTCCACCCACCCATGAATCCGACGGGGACATCCAGGTTACAATGCTGGGTCATTTACCATTCACCCTGCTTGCAAGCAACCCACTGTCCAGCTTATGAATTCTAAATTTTCACGATTCACAGTATATAGATAGCTCCATAGTCAGCTAGTGTCACTGGCAGATACCTGTCCTCACTCCTGAATTGGTGCATCCCTGTGGTGTCTTGATGACCTCATAACCTGTAGGCCGTGCGTTCAGTCCAAGGTAGAGCAGCGGATGCGTACTGATGAAGAGTCGCAAGCCAGGATCAAACAACTTTCCAGTACCTCCTGGTCTACAAGGGCTTGCCAGACGATGTCACTTCGTCCTCTAAACCAAAACGGATTTTTATTTATCAATCCTAGAAATTCAACTAGTTTTCTATCTAAATTCCTAAGCCAGTAGTTCAGATCAAAAGTATGTGTTCAACTAATCAATAGTAGCATGAGCTACATATGAGTTTTATCAACCTTTTACAACTGACCTAGACATTTGATTGGAAGTTAACTGCAGCTTATATTGACAGTTTAAGAATTTTATTTAATTAGAAATATTACAATAATTTGAATGGAATTAAAGTACTATATATAATCGATAAATCGATTAGGTGAATCAGTTAGTTTTTTTCATTTTGGTAGGTGGCCTAATTATTTAGCTTTTGTTTTCAGCCTTTAAAATTATCCATAAGTGTAGTATATTATATTTCTATTTCTACTGTCATTGTTTGTGATCGATTACTTCTGAAAAATAATGTATTCTTTTGATGTGAACTCTTTATTCACAAATGTACTTTTAATTAAAACAATTGACATTTTTTGTGAATTCATTCCCATGCATAATGTCCTAAGGTAACTGTTTCCATCTTATTGATGGTGTTTCTATGGGAAGTCTGTTGAGGCCAATGAATGAATGAAGTTCAGAATAGAATATCACTTATGTCTGTAGAAGAGAAAGACAACTGTTTACCTTTCCTAGACATATTGCTGGCTTCAGAAGTAAACAGAATCTCCACAACCCATTATTAGTGAGAACAGACGACGATCTAGCTCCTCTATTGCAAAAAATATTATAGAGACATGACATAAAAGTGATGTTCACACGCGTTTAAAATCTATCTATAAAACGTCTTTGGGTGCATCCTAAAGTTCGTGGAAGTTCTAGCTGCCAATTAGGAAGTTTAAACCACCAGTTTGCGTTCAAAAGCAATTTTTCACCACACTAAGCCTTCCATGGTAAATTTCTTTATTTTCCTATCAGCCTGGGTAGATGTACTGTGGTGAGAGCTAGCTGCAAGCCTAAAATTGTAGACAGCAATTTACGTCAATGTTTACGTCCCGAATCGGGGTCATGAGAAAAAGCAATAACAAAGCTTAAACTTGAGGAACTTACCAACCAATCACAACCGAGTTAGCGTGTGCTAATACAGTTCACAGATATATGGCTCAACTTTCTGAGAAACGGTCACAAGCAGTATAGAATAATCTTCAGCAAGAAAACAATGCTTCTCCGCTGATAATAATGTACATAAAAATCTATAAATATCTGTTGATTTTGTCAATAAAGGATCTGTTGCCTGGCTCTTGTCTTCTGTCGTTACAGTACTATTACCTTCTTTCTTTGGTTTAGTGATCTGCATTGTTATTTTGACCCTCAATGTGTCCTTTTAACTTGACCTATGTCCATTTTCTCACCCCTTAAGTCTTTATTATTTTCACATATATACGTATTCCTATGACAGGTCCGTGTGTGTGGTCAGACTGTTCGAAACGTATTGCGCAAATACACCATTACACGGTTCATACAAATTCCGTCCTTTTTATTGCTTTGACAGTATTCGTACAGTCAACAGTGGCCGTCGGAGACAACCAGTCATTTTCATGGTCGTCAGAAGCGATAAAAATTTTGCCAACATAGCTCTTTTTATCTTGTAGTCTTATAGATTGGTAACAGCTGACTGAAATATCCAACTCAGTGAATACAAGAATACTAAAAGTACATCGCATATAGGTTATAAAACTTTTGTATGAATATAAAATTTTCAGTTCACTTTACCTTCGTATGTCGATTGTGTTTAGCTCCAGCATCGAGTAAATAATGTACCACATGTCTATGATTATTGTATACTGCCCAAAATAAAGGTGTAATACCAAACTAAAAAACAGTAAAAAAAATCATTAAAAATTTAATTTGCAGAATAACAAACTGTAGTGTTTCATTAACAGAAAAATGTTTGCTATTTATCTCAGGTTTTTATTTCAACAAATTTAAGCTATTTATCAGCACGCATTGATTGTCTATCATGCTCACTTAAACGTAAGGTTTCACAGTCTATGAGCAGCAGCCTACCAAATGACCTTGGACAATCAATCAATCAATCAACCAATCAGAATTGTCGCATACTAATAATTAGGTCGATCATTAAAAACGTGAATATTTAAGACGAATAAGTGTTTGAGAGCAGATGAAATCATCCTATCTTCAACCTTAACCCTGACCTAAACTCTAATACTCAACATAACTAACTTTAAATGAAAAAACCACACATCAAGAATGGAATTTCAGATAAGCTCATGAATAGAGTGAATAGAATAGATACTGAAAGATGAACTATCTCATGGATTTTTACAAGGTCATTTGGTAGGTTGTTTGTTTCAGTTGTAATGTTCCTGATAAACAAATATTTAAAGATACGGATATCTCACAGAAGTACAACATTTCAAAAGGAAGCAGTATTTTGAAATTGTTATCCTTCTTTCTTAAACATTTACCCTTTAAAACAAGTTGTATTTTCATTGGAATTTCATATTAGTTTGTTTATTAGATATATCACACAGTGAAAAAGTATTATTTACTGGATGACGTTTCGAACAAAATTTATTGTTCATAATCATATCAATTGTAATCACACGACATGTATTCTCTCTCAGTTGATTCGATAAACAAAGCTTCTGTTATCAATTTCTCCATATACCCTGTGACATTAGATTTTAAAACTGTCATCATATCCCATCCTATTGTATGGTTGTGTGTAATTGCATGTGGCGAGTGCTATAGCTGAACTATTCTCTAGATTTCTCATCTTATTCAGGTCAACCAATCTAGATTTTGCTAAGTTTTTATGTTCAGCTAGTCTGACTGCCCTTATTCTACTACTTTGACCTATGTATTTGACCTGACAGTCATTGCAGGGTATTAGATAAACTAAACTGTTTTGTTTTAAAGGCTCTACAGGATCCTTTAACCGACAAAGCTTGTTTCTAATTGAGTTTGTGGGTTTGAATGCCATTTTTATTCCTGCCTTGTTTCGAAGTCGTGTGCTTATAGCTGGTATGATTATGAACAATAAATTTTGTTCGAAACGTCATCCAGTAAATAATACAGTTTCACTGTGTGATACATCTAATAAACAAACTAATATGGAATTACTTACTACCACAGTGTCAAAGTTTTACACATATATTCATTGGAATTTGACTAATCATGTTTATTAAGACGAAAAATGTATATTAGCCCAGGATTCAAACTCTCCCTCACCTATCTGATCTGAAAAATTGTGTAGTGTCATCATCACCCCACGCTATATGAGTCAATTTTAGCCACTGGTACATGGTGAAATCTGTTTCAAGTAACTTATTTCAAACAAAATGAACTACTGGTCACTAATTCTCACAGGAACTCCACGAAACACCATCCTTAGCCCGTCAATAGCGAGCATCAGATTAATCTCCTAGAGTTGATTTGTAGGGAATTAATTTGTTTTTCGAATTGGTCCACGGATTGATATCAGTTAAGGAACCATGTAAAACCAGCACTGGAGTATTGGATAGCTGTTTCGTCAGTCTAGTTTGGGAATCATTGGTAGTACGCACCCACCACCAGGGTTCAAACCCATGGTCTTCCGGTTACGAAGAGAGCTCGTAGATCGTTCATTCACTGGGACCCGACTCCTCAATCGCCAGCCCATGAATTCTAATTTCTACCAATTCGTGATTTTACCGCGACTGGCACTAGCCAATGTCATCAGTGGCCCGTATTTGTCCTCAATCCCGACAGGATACACTCCACTGGTCACGATTTCTCACTAGAACTCCAGGAAACCATGTTTACTCACTGCGGAATGTAGGTACATCCTGATGATGGGTCTCAAATGGGACAAAATGCACATCCTGGATTTCACTGATCCGAACTTTTTCAGGGAAATTAGTCGAAATTAACACAACCGAGGTTTATATCTAAAAGGGTATCTCTTGTTTTAGAAAATTTGTCCAAACATTTGAGTTATGAAATAGGTATCAACATGTTTAATAAACAAAACTGTATGAACTATGATCAAAATTTGACCTCAGACTTTCAAAATTAGTCTACTTTTGTTAGGCACTTTAAATAGAATGTACTTTTCATCAGATTACGTTAAACTATATATGCGTAAAGACAGAATAAAATGGTGTGTGTGTATGTGGGTGTGGGCAAACTGTTGTAAAACATTTGTTAGCCTGCATCAAGAGATGTCCTTTTAGATATAAACCTCTGTTATGTTAATTTCGATTAATTTCCCTGAGATTTTACAAATGTAATCTTTTACAAATGAACCTTGATTGTTCAAGATCACCTACATTTTCGAATATTAAGATTTCGGAGAATTTCGAAAATTCAGATTTCATTACGAATTAACGCGTCGAATAGAGAATTATCGAAAACTAATAAAAGTATTGATCAACTGCTCCCTTCCAGTTTTGGAACCTTCAGCAATGACCTGAACAAGGAACATTTTTTCGACTGTTATTCATTAGCTTCCTTTATGAATTGAATGTCAGTTGAAAATAAACACTTTTAAAGAAAAATAAATGTAAACTGACCTTATCTATTGGATCAATTATCGCTCTTCCCATTACTAATGCTTTAACTATGGATAAATTCCCAGACGATGAAGCAAGATGCAGTGGAGTACGGTCAAAATTATCGCGTACATTGATATCACACTTTTGATCTTGAATAATTTTATTGACTAAATCAAGACGATTTTGTTTCACTGAAGCAAACAGTATTTGCTCTATTCTCCTCACTATGCCGGTGGAGTAGAAACATAAACAGGTAAATATATAAAATGAAAAATACCGAGTACAAATAATAATTTTTCAAAATTAAGAAAATCACTCGTTCAAAGTGCTCACTAACGAGCACTCAGTCAATATTGTACCAATGGCCATGAAGTCGAGTGGAGAACGTATCACCGTTCATACAGACACCTCTGATTGCGACCTATATTCAGTAGGTAGGATGAAAATATAGGGAATATTTGGATTCCAAGTGGAGCATAGGACTTCAACAGCACGTCCCCATTATATTCTCTTGTCTACAGTCCTCTCTACCTGTCTCCACAATTGTCCATAATCTCTCACCTCCTTCTCACACGACTTCCCCACCTCCACAACCCTCAAACTTAAGTCAAACTCATCGTTTCCCAGTCGGGTTCCACTCAACGGTCTGTTTAATTTTTCAATTTAACATTTATCTGATGTCATGCGGGGAAGAGATCAGCTTTCTTCATGACCTTGACGAGTATACATTTAAACAATTATGTTGGGAAAACAAACAGAAGGGCACATCTCAGATTTTCTGAACACGTACCGAAAAGCCTACATTTGAAGAGAACAAATGCATACAATACTGCCATTGCCACGCATCTTGTTGCTACGGGTCATGAGGTTGACATCATGAAATCCTTTCAAGTTATCAATAGACAGTATAGTTGAATTCTCCTCACGTTCGCCATAGCGATCGCTGTCAAATGCCAGAAATCGGATTTATATGTTCAGAAGTGAGTAGTTGTCAGTCTTTTCTTTCCCTAGTGACTTGATGTCCTTACACTCTCTTTTCTATGACTACGTGTTCTTTGGCTTTAATATCTGCCCTCTTCGCTCTAGTATAACTTTGCTTATCTGTTGTTTCTATGACTTGAGTTGAAATGACCATATCATAACTCATTTTATTAGCTACTCAGCATCTTAATTAACTCTTGCCTTTATTACGTAACTCTTTCCACTGGATCCAAACATTGACTTTCGTTGAAAATTGAACTTTCTGTCTATAAGCTGTATAGGTATAATTTCCAAAAACTGTTTGTCAAGTTTGGAGTCTCCTGTCTGCTGGCATTATGCAACATTTGCAAGTAAATTAACATTTTTCTGTGCATAAATTTAATTCACAAATCTAGTCTGTACGCGTCTGATAAGAAGCTGATGAAATGAGCCATGGTACTATCTTATTCTGCATTAGCTGTTGTATTTGCTTTATTAAAATATAGATTTATTTTATTTTGGGTTGGTAGTTATTAGCAGTGGAATCCAAGATGAGCACTTCTTCCTATTCGGGTCTCATCATCTGGATGTAACTGCATCCCCAGCCGAGTCACAGTGTTCCGTCCTACTGAGACGCAAACCCTACACCCATCGTTTCAAATGTCAAAGCATCATTCACGATGACCAGTCGAGCTACGACAGTCACCTCTTACGTATTGGGCATCAGTTATTATTCGTCTGTAGGTCACCAGAGATAGAGCATTTCTGCCCAGCATAATCAATAACCAACAGGAATGGTAGATTAAAGTTGTTTGATTGATAGTGGCTAGCTGGTGAATTTAAGACATACTTTCCGTCCTGTTAGATATGCTACAGATCGATACACCTGAATAGCTCGGTGGTAACGTCTCTAACTGCAGGCACCACTGGGTGACACGGGTTCGAATCTCAGAGGGGACATGAGTTCTTTCAAGGTTGCAGATATGCCTTGTTGATGAGTCCCAACTAGCACGAAACCCAGGTCAAGTCAAGGCTTCCTGTGGTCGATCGCCCCCAACCACCTAATACCAACAATTCACAGTGCACCGTAATGGCAAGCCAGCTAGCATGGTGGCCACATTGCAAACCTGACTGATAGAATTCAATCTGCACCAAAGATAGGACTAGACGCATTACACTAGTTACTGACTAGTGTCCCATAAACAAAATAGACATTTCTATGTTCCACGGATTACTGTGAAACATTGAATGAGGTGATCTGTCTCACAATCTGATTTGTTTATTTTTACTTGCACTGGGAATATCCATGTGAACAGATTACGTCAGCCAGAATGTTGAACATATCAGATCATTATTATGTGGTTTATCTAAATATTTTTAAATGACAATAAAATCTGCACTTAGCTAAGTCAGACATTGAAATAATAGAGAAGATTTGCAGCTCAGCTGGTTGGTTTAAGTTACATCCTTCTGGACAATATCTTCAGCGCAATATTTAGCATAAAGTGAACTGATTAAAATTTTCCATGAGTGATAGAATTGCGTCTCCCGGTAGCCATCTTTATATCTGTGTTGATCATTTTTTATTGACTTGGATTTTAAACTTTCTCGTCACATTAGATATTTTGATCCAACGCTTTAGTGGATGCAAGGTTCGAGTCCAAGTAGGAGCATCAGAATTCACTTAGATACAGGTACACTCAAATGAAACGTACTTCCCAGATCCCACAACTTTCGGTGTTAAACATACAGTAAATATCAGAAATAGATAACAAATGTGGCAATCTTGTTACATACTGTTTATAGTGTCAGGCAGATTGCACATTGTGATCTGAATGCTTTAAGATTCAAAGTAAAATCTCGAAAAATGAGGTAAAATTTCTTCTCAGACTATGTTTGTACATTACATCAAATGAGTAAATGAATATTTGTTCGACTGTATGACCCAAAGAGAATGGCTTACCTGATTTATACGTACCTTTTAATGACCTGACATACTGACTTTAATGGTGTGCAAATCTGCGTCTGATGTTAGACAGTAAGCAGTGATCAATAGAGAAAGACTTGGATATAGGTGTTGTGTTTTAAACGCTCATCAGAAGGAAATATCTACAACATTTACGGGACTGATGTCCATTATGAGATTCGAACTAATGTCAGTCAGTAGTACAGATATCTGCTAAATTCCGTTGAAGGTAAAATTCATTTCGATAAAGTCTCACAGTGCTATACAGTAATACTTACTGATGAACACGTTTCGAGCACAATTTATTAACGCTAGTAATCATATGAAGACACTGCTCACACAACTTTCTAACTTCATTCATATAATTCCATTATTTTTCATCGCTTGATGTGATTGGTATTAGTATTTCCCATATTTCCGGTATGAGTGATCAGTCATCGCATCCTATTGCACGTGTTGGGCACAGACTCAATGAACCAGGACTCAGTAATCAACCTCTCTCTTTCTGCATCTAGCTATATTACCTTTTAGAATTTTAACCTTCTCCAACCCTATTGTGTGTTTGTGTTAGTGCATGCAGTGCAACCGTTGAGCTCTTTTATAAATTACTTATTTTCTTGGGGTCAACTATTCTTACCTTAGCTAAATTCTTATGCTCCGACAATCTGACTACCCCCGACTAGTTTTACCTGATAATGATAACATAAATAAGAGAAAATGTAAGTCATCTACAGCTCTACAATATAAGGAGGGGACATCTGAGACCCTACGTAGGATTCTTAACAAAGCAGGGATTACAGTGGCATTTAAACCTACAAACTCACTCACGTACGACAAGCTCTGTAGGTTAAAGGACCCAGTTGACCCAATTACGCAAAATAATATAATTTACAAAATAGCTTGCAATGACTGTGAGTGAGGTCAACTACATAGATCAAACCAGTGGACCGGGTGCTGGTAGTCAGATTGTCAGAGCATAAGAATTTAGCGAAAGTGAGGATGACTGATCCCACGAAGATAAGTAGTTTAGAAAAAACTCAGCACTGCATCACACTGCATGCATGAACACAACCACGCAATAGGGTGAGAGAGGGTTAAAATTCTAAGAAGTAATCTAGGTAAGTGGAGAGAGGTTGATTACTGAATCCTTGTTCATCTAGTCTACATCTAACATGTGCAACAGGAATGAATCCTCACTCATACCTGTAATACTACTACCAATCAAATCAAGCGTTAAAAAACATAATGGAATTATATACACGAAGTGAGAAAGTTGTGTGAGTAGTGTCTTGATATGACTATGAGCGGTAATAAATTGTGCTCAAAACGTGTTCATAACACTGTGAGACTTTATCGAAATGAAATTTACCCACAATGTATGTAAATGAACCTGAACATTGAACGTTGGTTCATTGACCTTGGTAGCCATTGGCGGGCAACTCGAAGGCGCGAATGGTTCAACCGTGTACAAGTTGAAAGAAGACGAAAGAATACGAATGAAAGTACTATACATTATTTGTAAAACATTTGTTTAGAGACTTTGTACAGATTGTTGATTTTAACTCCCTAAGAATACAATTTCTTATTGATCCTTGTGTTTTGGAGTTAATGTCAATAATTGTACCTAGTATAATTGTCGGTTCGGAGCATCTTCTGAAAAGATAGGAACTTAATTTGACAATGGAATTATACTCCTTCACGGTGCACAAGTTCTATTCTAATATCAATGTCAGCTAAAGTTCGAAAGGTTCTTGATATATATTCTCAAGTGGTGTGGGTCACTGGCGTCAGTATATCAGTTTAACTAATGTGTCCCGGGTCCGAACCCTGTTCAAAATACTCCAGCTTGAGCGAATCTGGGAATAGCATGAGTCTATATGTGTATAATAAGTGTCATATATAGTATAGCGCATGAAAATATGTCGTTTGATATCAAGTGAGTCTCAAAAACTATTATGAACTCAAAAACAAGAAAGTGATACTTCACTTACATTCAGGAGGTAAACTGATTGTAACCATACTACAATCAGCATTTTGTGACTGGGTTAACTAAACAGAAAAAAAAACACAAGACAAAAATCAATATTAGAACATAAAAAAGTTTATTCATTCATGTTTGTGATTCTTCGTTGACATATCTGACTGTATTGGGCTGTGAACAGATGCGTCGTTACTTCAGATCACGCCTATAAGCGCACGAAGTGAGAGTCGTGGTCTGATGGATAATCCTTTGGCGTTCGAAGCGATGGGTACTCAGTTCGATTACAGGTATATCCAATGACGAGTCCCAAATAGGACGAAATGAGCATCCTGGATTCCACTGCCAGTCACCAACTACCAGAAAACATAAATTCTCAGATATCGTTGAAGTGTCCGTCCTAGGAGTCGGCATGTCAACAGAAGTTAAATATCTCATTTCAGTCAATCAACGGAAATAACTTTATTCCTGTTGCAAAAGATGTGGCTCTTGTGGCCCGATCGGTCTAATGGATAACGTTTTAAAGTTTGAAACGAAGAATGCTGGATTCATGTCTGAGTGAAAACACCATCATTCATTCAGGTGCAAGTACATCCAGATGACGACTCTCAAAAAGGATGAAATACATGTCCTGGATTCATGAGTATCTTGTAAAATATCTACATTATTGTTATTTTTAGTAATAACAGTGCAAACAGTAGCTTTCGTTTGAATTTCCCCACTGGATATAGTCTCTTAAAAGTTATACATATAAATATATATATGCTTTTTTCAGTTTGACGACGGATTGCGATCAGGGAGAGAACCACTGAAAACCGACGAGGGAGTACTGGACAGCTGTTTCATCCCAGCTTGGGATCATCATCAATACGCACCCGCCGATGGGGTTAAAAGTCAAGCACGTATACCATTCAACCACTGACTCTTCAATGGCTAGCCAGTCCATGAATTCTAGCTTCTACCAGTTCGTGATTTAGCGTGACTGGGACCAACCAGTGTCATTGGTGGGAATTCCATGCTCACACTCACTCACTTGACGACTTCTCACCAGAACTACAGAAAACTCAGTCATGTAGCAAGTCACTAGCTAGCATTAGATTAATTTTCAAGAGTTTGAACCTCAGTGGATGCGCACTGCCGATGATTTCCAAACTAGGCTGACGAAACAGCTGTCCAGTACTCCAGTGCTGGTTTTCAATGGTTCTCTAACTGATATCAATCCGCGGTCAAACTCGTAAAAACAAATCTAATCCTTACAAACCAATTCTTGAGAATATACATATGTGACTGTAATGCCTGGTACTAAATTTGTTACAAAGGGACTCTTCTTTGAACATTGTGTTCGATGCATGTTTATATATTTGCATTAGTAGACCAGTTTTTCACATGTATATAGATTGTATCCGGATACATCAATAAGTTATATAAAAGAGGAGGCGTTCAGCGAAGAGTTACCCTTTTCGCCGATGGTACTCTATTTGATTTTAGCTCATGATGAAATCCTCCAACCAGTCAAATCAAATCCCTACGAAGACCAATACACGAGGAAGATATACATTTTGGGGCATTCTAGCCGAGAAGTAACTTGCACGGAAACAGTGTGGTCGTCCATGAAATATGTGAGCCCAACCATTATATCTCTCATTCAGGGTTTCAGGTTTCTTTATAAAAATACCTAAGAATTATTATGGTATTTTTTGGTGTAGAATCAAAACAGTATTTTTCTGAACATTGTCGCTATTTAAACCACAGGTCCTTCAGTCGAAATCTCAATTTATAAATTGGACTCACAATTTACAAGTTAAACGGTTCGAGGGGTGAAATTTCATCACAGTTTCTTTTGAAAAGTACATTTGTTCAGATAACAGTGTGTGATGTAACTGATACTATAAGTGACAATCAAAACAAATTGCAAGGACAGACGCACGGCGTTCTTACACTACTAATGGCTTTCGAAATCCTATTGGCTGTTCACTGTCTTAATTTATCGATGACACTAGTGATTCTCAAGGTCATTTTAAAGATATACGGCAACAAGCGCTGTCGGTCTTTACTTCATTTGGACACTAGTAGCTAGTGTGATGTGTCTAATCCTTTGTTTGGCCCAGACTGAATTCTATCAGTCAAGTTTGCAATTTGGCCACCATTCTATGTAGCTCGCTATGGCGAGTGCCAACTAGGACAAAACCTGGGTCCAAAGCTTCCTGTGGCCGACTGCCTCCAACCACCATATATTATCAATTCAGTGTGCACCATGACAGCGAGCTACCCAGAATGGTGGCCAAATTCCGAACCTGACTGATAGTTACTAGTGTCCAATCAAAGTATCCAATACAGTCTTACAGGAGGTCACTCGCGAACGCGAATAGCTCAGTGGTAAAGTTTCTGACTGCAGCACAAGGTTACGCGGGTTCTAATCTCAGAAGGGACATGAGTTCTTTCAAGGTTACAGATACGCCTTGCTGATGAGTGCCAGCTAGCACGAAACCCAGGCCAATTTACTCCAACCACCTAATAGCTGTCAGTCTTTATTTTGACTGTTGTTTGAGTTAGTTAAAGCCCTCTTACCAACGTCCAGTCTTCTCATCTGTCTTTGCATCCCAGCGGTGCTATTGTTGTTGTTGTTGACGTGCGATTAGGACAGATTAGCCAGCGCATTAAAGTTAGTTTTCTCTCAAAGTCTACTAGGTCATAGTTCCGGTCATATCATCCATCCCCGACTTAATATCATTAGACAAGATGGAGCCTATCGAGCATGGCTTATTGTGGTAACCGCTAAAACCACAAAATTTAAAAAAGATTTTATTACTACCAATCATACTACTTTTAACTCAGCTGTACTGGAAGTAAAATGTGTTTTCATTGAAAATCCACCTTTGGATCAGGCACATCAAAGGGAATGATTATTATTTTAAAAACGCCAACTAACTTCAAGATGGACTCATAACTTTCAGGTCCTGGATTTGTGTCATTTGTTACTGATAAGATTTATCAGTAGTATATAGAGAGACGTTCATCGGCATAAAAACACCAAATAGCAGGGAGATAGATTTGATATCAGAGAAAGCGAATGATTCAGCTCTGCAGGGAAACATCGGACACATGAGAGGAACGCAAAGAAACACAATATGAAAGAGGGGCAGAAGTTGCACAACACGAAAGATCTGTGCAAATGGTGATTTGAAGATATGATTTGAACATAATTTGACTACACAGAGATACCGAATTACCAAGTCTTTCGTCTTCTGCTGTTACAAATTCACTTACTGCTGGAGTTAAGGGTGCACACTGCTGGAGTATTCTCCGTTGTCTTCAGTGATTCTGTAACTGAAGTGTATTGATGTTCCTAACGAAGTTCTATGCACTGAAATTCATCATGACAACTATTCCTACTCATTTCAGATTCTCAACATATATAACAATAAAAATCTATGAAAAAAAAGAAGCATACTTACTGTACTGGATTTACTTCTCATCTTAGTGAAGTATTTATTTTCTCAATGAATTAAATCCATAGTAATTCAAAATATATAAATACGTGTTCCAATATTCATTCACTCCAGATTTTTTTGTGTTCTTTTGAAGAAATTGTCAATCCGTCAATATTTGTGAGTGTGAGTATAGGAAGTCTAGTTAAATGTCCTTAAAATTCGATTAAATGCATTCACATTTAACTGATATCAATATCGCCAGCATCCTCAATGTCCTGGTACAATTTACTGCAAAAACTGATGATGATAATGATAATGATAAGAATAGTAGTGTGAATAATGGTAACACTGAGTATAATCAATTCAACGATGAATTAATTTAAGTATGATCACGTGTGATTAGATGGACTAACAGATGCGTGTACCTCCCCCCACCTCTCCCCGCAACACACACACATACGGATACACCTACACACAATCAAATGATTGGTTATTTTATATGAATAAAACAATCAAAAAAGTCACATGTTATGTGATTACTCAATAAGAATAAAAATTTTGCTTCACTCCATTTTAAAAATTCAAGCTTATTGTAGGATTAAATTTATTACAAGTTATTATGTAATGAGTAACTTGAGGGTAATCAGCAGTCGGCAACTGAAGTCCTGCATCAGGTCCTTTGTTTATTGGTGTAAGTTAAGTTTGTCATGTGATCAGCATGCTAGGTGACTCGTCATCATCGTACACTCTGAATTATTGTTAAATAGTTGATGGCAAGCTGTAGGAAGACTTGGCCAAGCTCTTGTGTTTGTTGACCTTTGTCAATAGGGCATATCTGTAATCTTGAAGGAATTCATACCACTTCTGAGACTCAAACTTCAGTCACCTAGATGTGCAGTCAGAGACGTTGCCATTGAGTTATTCGGGATACCGACTGTTATTCTGTAGAAGTGTAATGGATACTTTGATACTTTGAACAAGTTTTAGTAACTAACGTCACGTGACTAGTCCTTTGGTTGGCGCAGACTGAAGTCCATCAGTCAAGAAAATCGATATTCATTTGTTCATTCGTGTCTGCAGCTGACAAGTACGAATGAAATATAATGAAGTTTATTTTATTCTGCTTAATATGTTCTTTTTGCTTTGTTGAAGTCTATCGTGTGAAACAACTGTATGCCAATTTCATACTATTTGATATAACAGCACACAGAGATACAGTTCGATTAACCGGATGACGTTCTGAGCATAATTTATTCGATTATAGGAATTATTAAAAAGATGGCTGAAGCGAAGAAAACTCTCTTTTCGATGAAGTCATCAACAGAGACTGTACATTCGTGTATTTATAGTAAATGTGTGTGTGGGAAAGTTCTAGAATTATTTCTGGTCAAAGGTCAAATTATTAATAATAATAATAATACTATGTATAATAAAGTTACTTCGCTAAGCCAGTAATTATTATTATTATTATATTATTGTTTCCTTTAGTTCCTAGAGGAACATAGGGCTTCAGCCATGCGTCTCCATTGCGTTCGATTCTCTGCTAGAGTTTTCACCTGGCTCCAGGTCTGCCCACATGCTTTCATCTCCTCTTCACATGATCTCCTCCAGGTCACCCTTGGACGACCAACTCGCCGCTTCCCTTTCGGGTTCCACTCGAGGGCTTGTCTAGTGATGTCACTTGCTGGTTTCCTCAGAGTGTGGCCAATCCATCTCCATTTTTTCCTGCCTATTTGTTTCACAATGGGTTCCTGGTTGGTTCGCTCCCAGAGATCTTTGTTGCTGATCCTTTCCGGCCATCTGATCTTGAGTACTGAGCGAAGACATCTGTTAATGAAGGTCTGTAGCTTGTTTGAGGTGCTCTTTGTGACACGCCAAGTCTCTGATCCGTATAGTAGTACTGACTTCACATTGGAGTTGAAAATCCCGATCTTATTTTTGACGCTGAATGATGTTGTCCTCCACACAGACTTCAGAGTAATGAAAGCTTGCCTTGCTTTCCCGATCCTTGCTTTGATATCCTCGTCAGTTCCGCCTGTAGTTGAAACAATGCTTCCCAAGTAGGTAAAGGAGGTAGTTTCTTTCAGGTTTTTTCCATTTATGCTGATTGCTGTCTGTTGTTGTTGTTGGTGTTGGCCAGGGATCTTCATCACCTCCGTTTTCTCTATGTTCACCTGGAGTCCTATCTTTGATGCTTCTTCTGCCAACTTGTTACTTTTCACTTGCATATCTTCCAGTTTGTGGGAAATCAGGCATATATCATCGGCGAAGTCCAGATCCTCCAAGTTTTTTGTGTGAGTCCATTTTATGCCTGTTTCCTCATTGCCCGCTGTTTGTCGCATTATCCAGTCTACTGCAATCAGGAAAATCATTGGCGATAGTAGGCAACCCTGTCTTACTCCTGTCTTCACTTCGAAGGATTCCGTGAGCTTCCCGTTGTGGATTACTTGGCATGCAGCGTTGTCATACAACTGTTGGATGAGATGTATAATTGTCGGCGGCACCCCGTAGTAGCGAAGTAGTTGCCAAATCACCTCTCGATCGACGCTGTCGAAGGCCTTTTCAAAGTCGATGAAGTTGAGATAGAGAGGTGACTGCCATTCCAAACTTTGTTCAATGATGATCCGTAGTGTGGCGATTTGATCAATAAGACTGCTTAAGAGGGAAGGTTGGGCATGAGGCTAGCAACTGCATTCCGTAAAAACAAACACCACTGCTAATGGAAGTTCAAAGCTCTAGTTTGAAGCCCTATATTCCACTGGAAGGCGTAAAGGACTAAAAAGAAAGTAGTACTATTCTAGAAATATTTCAGGTCAAAGGTCAAATTAATAAAGTCACAAAGTGTAATAATCAGGAAGACGGGGTAGGCATAATAAGATCATAATAACTGAAAAACTTGACTGTTTGTACAATTATGGACTAAAGACGTAGTGATAACCATACAAATAGCAAGTTCGGACATATTAAAAACGAACAAAGAAATCTAGAAATGGAGATAAGAATTAGGAGCGCAAACATAACAGAAGTAAACATGAAGGTTGAATAGGAAAGGTAACAGGAGAGGATAGGAAGTTGGGTCTGATTAAATATTTCATTTCTTTGGTGTTCAGCTGAGAAGGAAAACTGACAACTCACTGAGAAGATCCATCTACAAATCATCACATGGAACAGGCAGTTTATCAACTTCCATAGCTGAGTGCCTTTAAAGCAGAAACAGAAACCTAATATACTCTTTTTCGTCGGGAATCAAGAAAAATTGCACTGAGGAGTGAATTGATGAAGAAATGTGAAATCTCCGAGGGACCCTGGTAGAAAATGCCATCCCACCTAGATTCATAGCCAACAATCTCAAACCAAAGAACGCGCCTGAAAAAGTTCGAGTCGTCCTCAAGAGGATGCTGAACCTTAACCTGGAATTTGAAAGTGATGTCAAAGCAAAACTTCTTCGTAGACGGCTTTCGAATAAAATAAAAACTAGTAGTGCAGATAGAAATTAATAAAAAGAAAAATAACAGGAATAAACAGGAAGGTTGGATAAGAAGGTTAATAGGAATAATCATTATTCGTGGGACTGACTTTTCATGATGGCAATGGTAGGGACAACGGCTGGACGTATTTCTTTTGAACATATAGCGTCGGCTTGAGCTTCTGGATAACCAGCACTTCAGCTATTCCTAGATGCATTGATTTTACTCGCTTTGATAGGTTTGATCGAATGTTTTATATAACTTTGAAGGACTTTTCATCAAATGGAGCTGAATATCCAGAATTCACTAGAAGTTCTGTTACCGAAATGTATAGACCCTTGCGTTCTCCCTTTGCTTACCATTATGGATAGTGTTTCCGCGTGCGTTTTGCAGGTGGACGCATGGTACTCAGCTTCACAAAAACAAGTGAAATGGTATTAGATGGTTGGAGGCAATCGGCAGGAAGCCTTGAACCTAGGTTTCGTGATAGTTGGCACTCATCAGCAAGGCGTATCTGAAACCTTGAAGGAACTGATGTCCCTTCTGAGATTCGAACCAGCGTCACCCAGTGCTGCAGTCAGAGACGTTACCACTGAGCTATTCAGGCTCACGACTGACCTCCTGTAGGACTGTATTGGATATTTTTGATTGCACACTAGTCAGTGACTAGTGTAATGTGTCTAGTCCTATCTTCGGTGCAGACTGAATTCTATCAGTCATGTTTGCAATGTGGCCACCATTACACATAACACTAGTTACTGACTAGTGTGCAATCAAAAATATCCAATACAGTCCTACAGGAGGTCAGTCGTGAGCCTGAATAGCTCAGTGGTAACGTCTCTGACTGCAGCACTGGGTGACGCTGGTTCGAATCTCAGAAGGGACATCAGTTCCTTCAAGGTTTCAGATACGCCTTGCTGATGAGTGCCAACTATCACGAAACCTAGGTTCAAGGCTTCCTGCCGATTGCCTCCAACCATCTAATACCAACAATTCACAGTGCACCGTAATGGCGAGCCACCTAGCATGGTGGCCACATTGCAAACATGACTGATAGAATTCAGTCTGCACCGAAGATAGGACTAGACACATTACACTAGTTACTGACTAGTGTGCAATCAAAAAAACAAGTGAAATGGTTTATGCATGCTGAAGTGGTGCAATGCGACGACTTGTCTTTCATGTGCTGGTTGAATAGTTTCGTGCAGCAAAATGACACTATTAGGCTAGAGGTGAAGTGTGTTTTACTGAAAGACTTCGAAAATCGTCTACGGAGAAATTCTGCTTCGGTATCACTTTTAAATTCGCGGTTGATTATCAGCATCATTTTGGCGACAACTTGGACCTTTTCAGACGTTTCCTTTGGTTTCAGATTCTTGTCTATGAATCTCGATGGGGGTCCAGCGATGTCGCAATTCTTTCTCAACTGACTCGTCAGCGCATATTTTCACGATCCTCGCGGACAAAAAGTACGTTACGTTTCTGTTTCTGTTTAGTGGCACTTAACTTTTGAAGTTGATAAACTGCCCTTTGCATGTGACCTTTTTGTAAATGGACCTTCTCAGAGAGTTGTCAGTTTTCCTTCTCAACTGAACACCAAGGAAATGAAACGTTGAATCAAACTCAACTTCCAGAGTGAAGTGGATGCTTGGGTGGGTGTTATTGAAGGTTTGGCTTTTAGATAGAAATTCTCACCACAAGTAATGAAAGTATCATCAGTGTATTTCGCGTAGAGATGGATCTCGTCAGTAGTTGTTGATAAGGAATTGTTTTCTAGGTTGGCCATAAAGCAGCCAGCTACTCAATCTACTTGTCTGTATATTTAGTTGTTGAAAATGAAGTAGACGTTGAAGGTGCATCGTCGTAACAGCTCTTTTAGATAATGGATTAGTAGACGGACATCGATTCTATCGGATT